ATAGCTTATTACGTTCACCCAGCCAAGGAAAACCCCCACGCACCCACCCCTCCCGCAAGGACTCCCCGCCGAGCTTGCAACATGGGGAGCTGGAAAAAAGGAACTTATTTTCGTAGACAAGAGCGAATCTTGTGTTTATTTGCGCTTATATGCACATCATCTATCATCTATCATCAGGTGGTGTGTGGGCGAAATGGCCCCACTTTTGCTTTCCTTTCCCATCTCGACTCCCATTTCCCTGCTTTCTTCCGGCGCTGCATCCATTTTCCCGTTGCCATTATTATGATTGTTATTAACTTAAATAGAAAATACTTGACTGTTTCATAAATCTCACCCACAAGGGCTGAAGCTGGGGTCTCGCTGCGTCAAGTGGATTTATGTAGTTCCTGCTGCTGTTTTGTCGTGTGGTGATGAGTTCCTTACTGATTTATTCTGGCGAGGCGAGCTCGTACACAGGAACTTAGCCAGCCCATAAAAGGGAACATCTGCCGGGATAATATTCAAATCATCTATTCAGGACGGCAGGGATTGAAGATTCTCTCTTAAACTTCGACTCTAGAGCGGCAGAGTAGTGATCTGCAGAACCTAGAACTCAAAAGGACTCCAGTGCCAATCTGCTGACTTCCTAACTGATTAAGTACCTCTCAAACGTTTGTGTCCTTTGCGAACCAGGACCGCTGAATTCAATTAAAGCGTTTTGCGTTTCACCTCAGGAATTAGGCAAACTAATTGGCCGCAGTCTCCCGGAGCGAAAGGAAAACAGCCTTTCCCGCTTTCCCGCCTTTCCCGACTTTTCCGACTAAGAGTGCGGCTGAAGGCGCGCAAAAGTTTTAATAAATCCGCAAATTACTTTATAAGCAACTCGTTTTCGGGCTGCTTATTTTGTTTGCGCGGTGGGATGACAATGAGCGCGATAAGAAGTTGGCATAAACAACCCAAAGACCAAAGCCGCACAAAGTGCAGGCGCATGGAGTGAGGAATGGGACTGGAATTAAGGCAGATGGCCGGAGGATGAAAGGAAAATGCGTCCAGTCTGGATCAGCTATATAGCTCAGTGTAGTGTAGTGTAGTATGGTGTAGTATAGCCACCCATTCACACGACACGTTGACTGCCGCGATGGCAGTTTTTATTTAGCTTTTGTAAGTTAATTTGTGCACTATTGTCCGACGTTTGCCTTTTGCACTTTGCTGCCCGGCTGGCCAGCTGCCCGGCTGGCTGGCTTTATATTCCTTTTCTCCTTTTTAATGTAATTCAATTTCAATTTCAATGAAATTTAATCGTCCGTTCATACGGCCACCCGCGCCACCCACCCTTTCAGCATTATTTGCGTCATTTTGTGGTGGTTAATTTCAGTGCAACGCTTTTACTATTCAATTATGTTGCCGCTTGTCGCCTCATTCGAGCATTTTTTATGCACTCCGTTTATGATGAGGCAGTCCCTTCGAAACTTCCTGCTCTATTGTCCTGCTAATGCCGGCCTGTCCTGTTTGTCAGCCCGCGTGTCCTGCGTGTCCTGCGCGTCCTGCGTCCTTGTTGTGCTTTTTTCATTGTTATGAAAAATTAAATGGGCATAAATCATGCTAATGGCGCATTCAAAATTTATTATGCTTTAAAGCCCGCTAACACACAGTCCCCATCAATTTATTTATGTATTTGCAATTATTTCTGCACGGGGTGGAATTGGTTCCAAGCCCAGTTCTGAATGGCTTTCGGCTTGGTTTGGTGTGGGCTAGTGCGGTTGATCTCATCTCGATTTCAATTAGATGATTGTTAGAATGTGAGGATATCTTCATGGGGGAGCACATCCGAGGAGCTGATGATGTCAGCAGTGATGCGGAACAGGGAGCGAATTGTTTTAGGTTGAGGAAAGCGATATATTTATTGGCATTGGATAAGGGTACTTGCAAGTGTGTTTCCTTGAAGTGTTTTTGCATAACTCTTTTCATTTTAAATAGTGGTCCTTGACCATGAATAGCTGACAACTCGCGGTGATTAAGCCACCGGCAGGGGAACTATAACTAACTCGGCAATCTAGAATTTCATTCGCCACGCAGCTGGCAACAATGTGCCCCTAAATCCGCCTCATAAAAGAGGGGCAATCTGGGGGCTTGGGGCTTGGGGCTTGGGGGGCCAAGGGCGGACCACCCACATAATGCAAATTGCTATTATAATTTGCACAGCAGCGGCGCCATTCATCAGCCTTAAAGGGGGTTGGGCTGGAAGTTAGACAAATTTCGCAGGGATTATCTGCGAAGGATGCGAAGGATGCGCTGGCTGCAGTTTGTTGGTGCCACGCCGATGTTGCAACATTTTCCTGCAGCTCAACGCGTTGGCGCTTCATTCCATTTATTATAACAAGTTTTTGGAGTTTTTTCCGCCGTTCTGGGGTTTATTTTCACTGCCAAAAATATATATTTCAAGTGGGTTCAACTGCAGAGCGCTTTCTGTTTGGTTTTAGGATTTTTCGCCCCGAAAACGCACGAGTTTGTTGCAAACTGTTTCATGCACACAAACTGTTTCGTGCGCGCAGACACATTGGCACTCTGCAGATACAGATACATTTCGGCCATTGCAGTTTGCAGTTCGCAGATAGAGATACTTCGCTTGACCTCCCGCAGAGCAGTTTTCATTTGGTTTCTAGCCCTGCCTCACATGGGATGGAGTTCCTGAATTCGAAGGGGACGTTGAATCAACTTGGATTAAATATAATGTAACTACTCTTTACATACTTTTCCCACTTAAGAACACTAAAGATCGCTATCATTGGGTTAATATAATTATTGATTTCACAGAGGCCACTATATATTCCTTGCGAAATCAGCTGTCCACGACATAAAAATCTGATTTACATATTTAAGTGCTGAAAGTCGAGATAGGACACCTATTTATTCGCATATAGCCACACGAACCGCAGCCATTCTAAGTAGATTTTTCTTTGCATTTCGGGTTTCCTTTTGTTTTCCTGCCTGTCGCTCCTGGCTGCCAGTTTTCCCCCTTGTCGGGATGCATTGGTCCACCTAGTGTGTTGTTTACATGTTCATTCGCGGGATTTTTCACTTGAAATTGGAAAGTCGACGTCGGCACAAAGAGTTAAGTCCTTGCATGTGCGGAAAAGGAGTCCTGGGGGGGATTGGAATCGCTTATTGTTCTGACCCACACATTGTTGCCTCAAATGAAGAAGACCATTCCCATTTGGGTTTTTTGCTGATGCCCTCTTTTGCGGTTGTCTTTGCATTAAGCTTGTTATGGCTTTAATTTAGAGGCATCCTTGGCGAAAATCGCATCAACGCAGCTGGAGATCGTTAAATAATTCATGTCAGGCCGCTTCGAAATCGGAAAGTGGAGGGAAAAGCGGCGGGAAGCGAACCGAATCCGCAGCAATGAAAGCCAAATTAAGCAGTGAAACCGTTTAGCCAGATGGGGGATAATCGGCGGAGGGAGTTGGTGGCTGGATAGTTGGATGGCTGGATGGCTGGATGGCTGGATAGCAAGGAGCCAGCCAGGAGCCAGGAGCCAGGCTTTCCATCCAAGGATTTTCCCAGCTGGGCGCCTCAGGAGCGCCTGATTTACGTTGCAATAATTTTCATCTCATTTTCATTACGTTTTCGGGCTTATCCTGGGCAGCCTTCCTGTTTCTTTTCTCCAGGACCTGCCCGTCTCCTGCCTTTTGCATGAGGCCAAAAGGTGAGAAGCTCGTTTGGCCTGCAGTCGCTTTATGCCGGGGCAGCCACTTGAGCCCGGCTATTTATCATTCCCCAGGAGCTTGTACATAACTTCAGCCTGTCCATAGGCTTCTGCGTCCCGTAGTCCTCGGTTACCACAGCAAACCCCCTCGCCCTCCTTCAGCCAGCAGCTGTGAAGTTTCCATGGTGTGGCTTTTCCAGCAAGGGCCATCAAAAGTTGTGAACAAGTTGCAGGTTTGAAACAACAAGGTACTCAACACCAGCAGCAGAAATGGGAATGCCACCGCGTGTGGCGCCTCTCAGAGCTGACAGATTTGCATCAATTATTGAACAGGTGCGGACTAACAGGTTGTTCGATGATGGAAGGGAACATTTTACAAAAACATCAAGAGCTTGAATTCCATTTGGATGGTCAAAGAGGCACAAAAACATACTTTTCCAGTTTGACATATTTATATTATCTGTTAAATTGGCATCCAGTTCCAACTTAACATGCCCATCAACTTCTCAGCCAACTCTCGCTGAAAACTTTCCCCGGAATGTTTAACTTTTTGATTTGCGCTGAATTTGTTTGTGCCAGAAAATCCTCACATCCGCTTCATTAAGTACTGAGACCTTCCCAAATGCCGGACCCAACCGAAGGAACCAAAACGATTTGGCTCTGAAAGGGATTTGCAAATGCAAGAAGGAAATCGAAATCCTTTGCAGGCAACTCAATTAGTTGCCGCATCCATTAGATATTCCAGGCACAAAACAAAAGAGTAAAGCGATTGCAAAGCCATCGAATAGCCGAGGGCCCAAGGACCCTAAGAGAGGAAAGGAGATTATTTTTTGGCCATTCAGGAGGTCAGACCACAAACAAAGATGTCACGCAGTGCGTTGCCCAAGGGGATTTGGCCATTGGTACGCCCAAAATATATGTAATATATGACATTTTGTTATGAATACTAATGTGAGCTGGAGGGCCGAAGGGGGCGACTTAAAAGTTTACGCCAAGGACTGCTTTGCATAGTCCAAAAATATATTTATTGACAAGGGGAATGGGAAAGCGAGAATATATTTGTGGGGAACTACGCCCACTACTTATGATTTAATCTTCGTGGGGCGGTGCTTAAACATATATCCATTACTCCAAATAAATATTGTAATGAAAAAATGACTAGCTCCTGATAATCTCCAGATGGCCACCTCCTCTCCCGCTCCAAGGACTTAATCAAATCAATTGGCAGACAGGAAAGCGCAGACAGTTGGCCCAACCAACTGCGACTAATGCGTCGCCATCAGATATGCAAACAATCGGCGAGCAGACGAATCTTCTGCAGTCACAAAGTTTATTAAACCGGACTATGACAATGTTTTGGAGGCACACCATTCCCCGGGAGGAGGCAGCGCCTCAGTGCGACTCCTTGCCCTTCTGGGCCGGCTTCCTGCAGGCACTGCGCAGGACATCGGGCAGAGGAGTGCCCGAGAGGCTCAGCACGGCACCGGGCTGGATGTTCCGGAGCAGATTGTACAGGCGGTGGTAGTGGTGACTGGTGGGCGGGACATTGTTGTAGACCTTGTCGTCCACGTAGACCACGTCGATGCCCTCGTCCAGGATTCTGGAGTGGTAGTGGTGGTTGTGCGGAAAGAAGTCCAGCAGCGTGCTCAGCTCCTTAGTGAGCAGCGAGTTCCGCTCCTGGGCGGGCTGCTTGATCAGGAACACCACGATGTCCTTGTCGCTGTAGAGGCTCTGGCCAGCCGGCAGGAGTGTCAGCTCCACCACGGCCCGTTGGACGCAGATGAACTCGGGCTCATAGGGCTGCATGGCATGGAAGGTCAGCAGAGCCGGATCGGGCTGGTAAATGGATGGATGGATCAATGTCTTCAGCTCCTCGAAGGCAACTTACGTTGAACCGCCGCCTGTAGGTGTCCAGCAGCTTTTCAGTGCTGTAAATCGTGCCGTGCCACTGCGGCGGCAGATAAATCTCGGAGTCCGCCGACGTCAGCAGCTTGGTGCCATGCTATACAAAAAATGTTGCTCTTGAAATCAGAAATATTGTAGTGGGAGAATTACCAGATCGTAGGTGTAGGTGCTCAGGGTTTCGGGAGTCACCTCCTTGGGATATCCATAGTCGTCCAGGAACATGATTTTGTCTTTTTCGCACTGCCCAAGCACCAAGTTCAAACGGAATTTAGCACAACGATTTTTTATTAACAAGTCTGTTAATTTAGCTGCAAAGCCTACTTGGAGCAAGATTTAAAAACCGACTTCCAGCAGTAATATTTTCGGAAAGTTTGACTGCATTGTAGTGTGCACCAAGCTGGATTCATCACAAACCCTATAACTATTGATTTGACCCACACTGGTATCAGTGTTGTAAGCTTACATTTTTCAACTTTGCATTCAAGGTTGCATTCAAGCCACTTCCTGTACCCACAGTTGCATTTCAATCCCCCAAGAGATGAAAGGGAGCTGTTTCCGTTCCAACTGCCACTGCCCTCCGCTTCTGAGGCGATTATCTGGTTTCGCTCGGTCCCATAAATTTGTCCACGCCCATAACTGGGCTGACAACTTAAGTGCGGTCATGTTTTTGGGGTCCAGTTCTCCAGATCTCCATCCAGGACTCCCCTCCATTAGGAAAACAATTACTGCCGACACTGACAGGCTCGAAATGCCGACCGAAACTGAAACTGAGATCCTGGACGCATTCTACCAGTGGGAGCAGGAGCAGGAGCAGGAGCAGGAGAGATAGCACTCGGCGTCTGGCCGGGATGTGGCCATAAATTATGAGTTTGTCGTCACATGCTGGCGGTGGTCTTAGCCGGTGGTCATGTCTATTAAGAAGTCCTAAGGATATCCAACTGTCCAGCTGTCCGATTTTTGACACTCCTTTGGGTTTATTTTGCCAATCCTTTGGCTTTGCATACTTGGAGCAGCCCTCGCTGGCCGTTTTGCAACTTTTCATAGGTGCTCTTGGTGGCTTAACCCTGCGCCCTCGAATTCAAATCCCCGAGACATAAATTATAGCCCCGAATTTCCCGCTTCATTTTCATGCTCACGAACTAGAGGGCGTCACATGTGTGTCTAAGTGATTTTCAATAAGTTGCGAGTTCCTGGCGGCGGGGTCAAAGTTTTTGGGGCACGATTTTTCACGGCCCCAGATGTCTATATGTGTGCATAAGAATGTATATATGTATGGGAGCAGCATAATTTATGGCGCCTTCGCATGTGAGTGTGTCTGAGCTGGCGGATTTTCGCAGGCGTCGATAATGACGAGCGATTTCTCATAGCCAAAAGTGAGTTTTGGGCGGGCGGGGGATTGGTATTGGAACTGGAACTGGAACTGGGATCTACTCAGGAGCGCTCATTTCGCCAAAGCACCAGCCATTTGCAGCAGCTGCGACCGACCTTTGACATCCCCCAGGCCCAAGTCCTCCACGTTCCGGGGCCAAACTACATGGCACGTAAAAACAAACTTGATTCTCGGCCATCAAAAGCGCCATCCGTCTTCCAGCAAACGTTCTCTTTGACTGCCAAGCTGCCAAGTGCGCGACGTGATTCAATATTTTTGCGAAATTATTTTTTAATCATAGTTGCCTGAAGTCTGGCAAATATGGGAGCTGATCGAATACAAAGTGAGCAGTTGCCGAATCAATGGGACATGGGGAACAGATTGAAAGCTGGTGTCCTTAAAGCTGCTAAGGTGCTTACTAAAAATATCATAACATTTATACGAAATTAGATATATGATATTACCCTTGAGTTATGGAGTCGATTATAACAACATTACTTAAATCAATATTTTTCGTTCTTTTCAGTGATTCTGTAAAATGTCTCATACCCCTCGAATGCCAACTAAAAAGTCCTCGAACAAAAGATGACAACTACATGTGTATAAAGCATCCACTCACACATAAACCATAAAAACAACAAAGAAGTAAGCCAAAAAGTGGCAAGAAACTTTTGCAATTTGCAAGACTTGCAGCTGGCATTGGTCGCCACTCTCCGCTATTAACGCAATCGAATGACGTTCTGGCTCGGATTGGGATTGGGACTCGGATTGGGATTGGGATTGGGAGCTGGCTCCTTATGGTAAATGCCCGCAAAATGCTTGAAGAGCTCAAATGGTAAAATGGTGAAATGGCAACCAAATCAGCGGATCCCCTGCCATCCTAAAAATTGCAATTGTGACAATGCTGACAATCTGCAGGCGACAGCCAACACAGAGTTCCAACCGGAAGTCGGGGGAATCGGGCAGTAACTGTGAAGGATGGGGAAACAGACGGCAATGGCAGTTCCGTCTGCAGCTCCTCTCTGCACTCAGAAAAATGCACACTTGCATATATCAAGCGTTTATTGCATTAACGCTGGACGATTAAGGCTGCATTTATATAGCTCGATTACGATGTTTCCAGTTGAATCAAGTGAGTTTTTCATTACTTCCAGTTAGGGTAGTACCACGAATGTTTGTCACTGCCCAGTTTTGCGCAGTGTACTGTCCGTCTAGCGGCCGCCTTCATGGCAGCGTCAAGAAAACGGCGACACTTACAATCAGTATGAAATTTACGCGATTTTCATTGCGGCAAATGGTTTGCTTTTTTCGGTATTAACATTTCTCGCCAGGCGCGAAGTGGGGGATTGATGGGCGTGGCTGGGAGCCCAGCTGAAGTCGTGCCAATTTCATAATTCTGTTCAGTTTTCGCTGGGCATATGCCGATGCTGATGCTGATTAAAGTTAGGCACAATTGAGAAGAGGCTTCATAGTCAAGGAGGCAAACTTAAATTTTTGTTGCTAGATGGAGTGCTGAAGCGGGAACGTATCGCCTGCCAGAAGTCTTTAGTCTGGCCGAGATCCCCGTGGAGGGTGCAGAGTATTCGCAGTGCCCCGAAGGAATATGAGTTGCTCGCCGGTTGGCTCCTTGGCTGCAGCCATAACCAGGATAACAACAAACGGGCAAACAGCTCGCGGCTGCCACGAGCCAAAAGTGGCATCAGCTGCGGCAGTTGGCGCGGATATATCTAGCCCCGCCCCCGAACCCGCCCCCGCCAACTGCCACCACCACCATCCAGATCGGCCGACATATATCCTGGGCTGACTGACTCGAGCCGGGGATAATGCAATAAGCGTTGCCAACAAGCGGCAACGTCTTCGTCCTGCGACTTTGGGCCCTCCAGCGCTTGAGCCACTGCGCTTGTGGGTGGGTTGGGGGAGGGCTCCTTCGAGGGGGTGCACATGTGCGCCAGACAGGTTATGCGCTATAAAAAATTTAAGAAATTGCTACCAGCGCCAGCGCCAGCGCCAAAAACGACAATACTTACGAGCATTTCACAAATCAAAATACTTTCGAGAGTTGGTCCTTTTCGCAAGTGGAGCCCTTCCCGCGCTTTGTTGTCTGCCACCAGTGGTTATTGTTATTGTTCTTAATGTTGCCTTTCTCGTGTGCCAGACTTTTCCGCGTTTTCCGCCCTTTGCCCCCTCAACAACTGATGCCCCAAGGAGCGATGCGAAAAACAATGTGCTAAATAAATAAATTTGTCCAAGATTGCACATCAAAATAAGGTGCAAGAACTGGGGATATGGCTGCTCTTATGGCGTGGCAGGTGATCAGGTGGTTGTCATGTTGGATGCCAGGATCAAACAGGAAGATATGAGTGTAATTCAAATGGGCGTAATGAGGTTATTGAACAAACAAGCGCCAAGCACAAACCCTAGCGACTCAGGCTTTAATTCCAAGTAAATTATTCCTTTCGGGAACAGCCACTTGCAGCATGCAGTTTTTTCCCCAGACTTCTCGGCCATATCTCGGCTTAATGGCAGTACTTCCCCAGGACCCATCCTAATCTATGGCCCATTGCGTGTGCAGCAGAACACGGGCAGTTGGTAATATCCTGGGGAATGGCATGCAAAAGGACAGGCAACAAAAGCGAGAACAAATTGCGACATGTTTTGCAATTCCCACGCATTCTGCGGAGCTCCCCACCCCCACTTGCGCAACTCTCCCGCTCGGGTTAAAGGTCGCCGGAGTGTGTCTCCACCCACTTGATGTTGCTGCTCCAGCTGTCCTCGCCTGGATGTTATTTGGCCGACAGTTTAGTGTGAAGCCCTCGGGACTCCTTTTTTATGTCAACTGTTGATTGCAGCAGTGCAGAGCTATGAAAAGGATATCAAAACCGGGCTGAACTGCAGCAATAATCAAAATTAATTCAATTTCGGCGGCTGGCTTTAAAGGTAGCCACTTAATTAAATGGCCACACGCGTGCTCCATATGCACATCCTCATATCCTGTGGCACTGCACTGATTTTCCTGCATCTGGCAAAAATCTGTTTAAATCAAATTACATTCAACAAAATGCCCATAAAGCGAATGAATAACCGCAAAATATTCGAGCACTTAAAATGGCAAAGTGATTGAATTGTGGGCAGGGTTTTTCGAGAGGCCAACGTGACACGATGCAGTTTTTAAAAGCATTTAAAGCAGTTGCTAAACTATTTCGAAAATGGTACCCCTATAAAAGATACGTTCATCCTTAAAGTATCTTTATTTTGTGGGCTGGTTAGTGGGAACAACTGAGTTTGATTGCATTAGGGAAACTTTAGTGAAGTAGATCCTATAATAACAGCAAGTGATATCTGATATTCACGCACTCATCTCCCACTGCCAATGCACTTTAAACCGCACAAGTGCACCACAGTGACAGGTTGCAATGGGGACCAAGCTCGGCAAATATTAAATATTGACCCGGAAGATTATTTATCACAATTTGATGAAATTAAAGGCAGCAGTGCCTGACCCCTCTGCACTACCACTGACATACGCCCCTGGCTGCACCTACCGAAAACTGCACTTATGCCCTGTAATAACCAGCTCTCATCTGTCCACTCCCAGCTGCAGGCTTTCGGTTGCCTTTGATCAAATTATCCCTGAAACCCCACTCCACCGGCAGCCCTCAAGGATTGCACCTGTTTTAAGCTCAGATGTCCGGCAAATGCGTACATATTTTAAATTTAATTACTACACGCTGCATGCAGCAAACAGTGGCAGCCACGGCAAATCCGAGCCAGGATATCCATCCATCCAAATGGGGCAAGCACACTCCTTTCGTGGCCCGAATAGTTGGCTGGTCATTCAAAATCTGCGCTAGCCGCACGTGGATAAAAATATGAGCGTTCCAACGAGGGTGGATCGAAGCGTTTTGAATATAATCCATATTCAATTGCCGGTCATGTAATGGGAACGAAAACCACTATGAAAATCGGATATTTTTGTTCGTGTCTGATGTTTTCTCCAGAAATAATGATGCTCTTCAACTTACCAATCCACCCTTGCTCAGCCATATATCACCTGAAATGCCCCACCTCACCTCCCTGGCGCCCAAAACCCCTTTATCCACTCAGACGCTTCAGCGTTCGTCCTGCGGGCATTTTTGCACATGTAACTCAATTTGTGGTTCACATTTAATTAATTTAATAATATATGGGGAAATTAAATTCTCCTCCTTCCCAGCTGCAAAGAGAAAAACCGCAGAAATCCCGCCACTGTCAACAATTCCTCTGACCAGTCCGCGAACGAGCTGAAGGATAAAGGATACGAGCTGAAGGAACCTCAAAAATACGAAAATATTTACTTATTTCGACCAGCGACGGCAAAGCGCTCAACAGATGGCGCTGGCAGAGGCGAGCATAGAGGGCGCCGCGAACGCAATCCACATGAAGCAAAAAGCTCCGCTGCTGGTGGATGCTAAGAAATGCCATTTATTATACATTTTTAATGCAGTGGTGGCTAATCTTAAATATTTTATTAAAATCATTAATGCACAAGTATTGTGATGTAGTATTATTTCTAGTACTGGGTAGTAAATGAACACAAAGAGGCATAATTATGTAATAATTTTTTTTATTTTATTTATTTATTATATTTATTTATAATATTATTTATTTATATTATAGCGCTGGCTGCAGGGTCTATGGCTATGTGGGTTGACAAGTGCATTGTATTTGTATTTATTTATGAGTTTATTATGTAATTATGTAACCATATAAATGAGTATTTAGTAGTCAAGCTTTGAATTAAATATTATGTATTCAATTACTACGCGAAATTGTAACAATTAATATATGCAATTAATAATCATTCTGATTTGTGAGTGCAATGAATTTCTGATGACTGACCACTGAATTTCACTTCGCCATTTCAGGACATTGAACCTACTCACCCGCGATCTCTCCTAATTAACTGTCGCCAGTAATTGCAGTGCAAATTGTTCCGCTTTGCACGCGGAAGCCCTTATCGAAATCGAATCATCGCGATGTGCATACAGAAATTATGCGAGCTACATGGGGATGGATTCAGAGCAGCATGTTCAGATACTTCATCCAGATCGTCTGCATTTCGCTTTTGTTCACATGGCAATCCGATTCGGCGCACTCGAAAAGCTCGCTCGCGAAAAGCAAAGCTTCGCATCCAGCGTATAAAAGATACAATGCAGCTGCAGTCGAACCTCAGTTCTAAGCCAGAAGTAGAACGGATACGCGCGCATTCCGTGGATAGCAATCGTATCTCCCCGCAGCTTGCACTATGAATCACCACTCCAGGTAAGCGCCACCCACTAAACTTCCACCTAGCTCCCAGCTATTTACCTTCATTATTCATCCCCACAGCTCGCACCTGTGGCTTATCCCCCTCGTATTTGGGGCGCTGTGGGTGGCCCACGCCCAGGTGCCGTTTCCCGGCAAGTGTCCACAAGTTAAGCTGCTGGACACCTTCGACGCGGAAGCGGTGAGTGCCCTAGACAATCCATCTCGCATCGCATGTCACTCATCTCATTCTGATGGCTGGAGAATAGGGAAGTCTAGACGATCGGTTTAAGGCGGGCATGCTAATGAAGTTTCAACAGATAACGAGCTAAAGTTTAAAAACAAGGGAATATATCGCACTAAGTGATATAAGCAAAGCTGCACATCTTCCAATTCAAAACCTTCTTAGTTCTGAAAATTGATAGTGCAAATGATCTACGATCCCAGCGAAAAACTTTAACAATGAGATAAGGAATTGGTCACTGTTGTTACGACATTCTAAGTAAATATTTGTATTTGACTATGTTTTTTAATTATCGACCCTACTATCTAATCTAGCTTAAATTATTCCCAGATTTTTAAGTAGTAAGTAAGCAGCTCGAGCTGCATTTTGTATTGCTTATTACATGACCATCTGCTTAAATAATTGTTTACATTGTGTATGTAATTATTACTTTTGTGAATACTCCAGTACATGGGCGTCTGGTACGAGTACGCGGCCTATCCATTTGCATTCGAGATCGGCAAGAAGTGCATCTACGCCAACTACAGTCTCATAGACAACAGCACGGTTTCGGTGGTGAATGCGGCAGTCAATCGATTGTGAGTACGAGCAACATAATCTGAAGCACTCCAATTAATCAAAAATCGATGAAACAGCACCGGGCAACCCTCGAATGTCACTGGGCAGGCCAAGGTCCTTGGACCCGGTCAACTGGCGGTGGCCTTTTTCCCCTCGCGTGAGTTACTGCCAACATTGAAAGTGCTCTTCAACAAACATTGTTACTTAACCAACTCATTTTAGAGCCATTGACCAAGGCCAACTACCTGGTTTTGGGCACCGATTACGAGTCATACGCCGTCGTCTACAGCTGCACCGGTGTAACGCCTTTGGCCAATTTCAGTAAGTTAATGGGGAGTGCCAACTGTGCCATAACCAAGATGCAGTGACTAGCACTTAATGGTAATAATGACAACTACTATTTTAATCGCAGAAATTGTTTGGATCTTGACGCGTCAGCGCGAACCTTCGGCGGAAGCTGTGGATGCGGCCAGAAAGATCTTGGATGACAACGACGTATCCCAGGCCTTCCTCATCGATACTGTCCAGAAGAACTGTCCCGGGCTGGATGGCAATGCCACTGGGCTCGATGTGGATGACTTTGTGTCCTCCACCGTGCCGAATGCCATCGAAAAGGCATGAGAGTGGCTTCGACGCCTCTACGAGCGTCTGTACGACATTTTTATGAACTTCCTGAGTTACTGAGTGTCATGTTATCGCAGGGATCACATATCGATTGTTCAATGTTCTTTGGGGCTCCAGTTTTAGCTTGTTGTTACTACGAGGAATAAATACGAAGAAAATCGATTCAGTGCCTTTCTATAGAGTTTCTATACACAACTGGACATATCTTTTCACACTTTTAGGTGTAACGTGCTCCGCATAATCTCGATTATTTTTCATTAAGCCGCATCCAGCAGATTCAAGTAAGCCAGACCAGCGGATTCAGTTTCCATTTATCCTCAAACCGCGCCAGCATGATCAAGTGGAAGATCTTCGTGTGAGTGTAGCCCGCACAGTGAAACGAATATTAATACACTACCCAATACTCTCAAAGCCCTGCGATCCTACATCTTCAACTGGCGATCGCCATGAGGGCTTTCAATGGCGCCTGCCCCTCCAATATGAGTGCTGTCGGGGATTTGGACATGGAACGATTCAAAGGCAAGTGGTACACCCACTCGATGTATCCCAATCTCTCGTTGCGAGTGCCAAAATGTCAGTCGACGGATTTCGTTGAGGAGGAAGAAAACAAGTTCAGAGTGGAGGCCCGGGAACTGAGCAACCAGTAAGTGATTTTATTACTTGAAGTCGCTCTATAAGCCATTTTCACAGAACTGGCACTGTAAAGATGAGGAAGGCGGACATTCTGAACATAGAGCCCCAATTTGGGAGGTATATCTTGGGCACAAGGAATACGGGTAGCGAATTGTGGAATTAGCCTAGTGCCAATTGTTAACTTGTTTTCAATTGCAGCATTTCCCGAGGGCGTTCTGATGTACGTTCTGGATACCGATTATGTGAACTTTGCCATCCGATTTATGTGCTTCGATGCCAGCAAAATAATCAGTTTTCGTGAGTGTACTGCCGTGACTAATCAATACTTGCCCCTAATTCGATTCCTGCATCCCACAGATTGGGCTGTCATCCAGACCCGAAAGCGATTGCCCACTGTTCAGGTGATATATATGGCTCAGTACTATGGAAGGAAAGCCGGTCTGGAAATAGGTTTCATGAGCAAAGTTCCCCAGGAGTCTTGTCCGCATGACACTTGAGCAATGTAAGCTTGTTTTGAAATAAAAGTGTGACTTGCCAGTCTCAATCAGCGCATCAGATCGATTATGGACTCCGTTACCGCCTATAAGGAAATTACACTGTGCTGGGAACTTGTTGTATTTATTTTCGTTAAAAGCTTCATTAATACATTTCATAGTGATTTAAAGTGAACCCATTTCCTCCCAAGACTGCCTTATTTGGTCGGCCCTGGTGAGCAAGACAAATGTCGGCCCACAGAAACGAGCATAAATCACAAAACCGCACTTGGAACGGATGCGCATAGATAGACCTGGCCCACCAACTCATCTCGTTCCCTGGACAGGAATAAAGAAAAAGGACAATTGTAAAATTAAACAGCGAAAAGGCAGGACGAAAGGTCCTCGCTGAACGAAAACTCCGAGCGTCCATTGGGGAAATTTTATGGTACAACGATTTTCAGAAGCTGTACAAACATATACATAGTATACAAGTATATCTATGTCTATATTTTATTTGCCCGCCTTCCATTTTTGTTTTCCAGCTGCCCAGACTGCGGCAGCTCCCGCGGCATTTCGAGCTGCTTTGCAGCATTTGTTGCAAGAGTCGAGGAATCGGGCTAGGAATCGTGTGGGTCGTGTGGGAGTCCCCGGCCAACTCACCTCTTTCCTCTTTCCACAACGCCTGCTACTCGCTATGCATACAAAATTTGTTTTGTAAACAAAGTAATGCCATTACAAACAAATTGGACTTTGTGCCCATGTTTTACACCCACCCCAGCCAGGACATTGTTGCACTGGCATCCTTTGGGAAATCGCTCTGCGGAGCGTCCTGATGATTGAAGGAATATGTGACTGACATTTGAGCCTGCTCCGCACACACAGATGTAGATGGATAGCATTTATTGAGTGCCAAAGGACGATTCCGGCTTGCAGTTTTTGCGGTTTGCCCGCCGGCTATTGGGTTACTCTTTGGAGATTATATCCTACCCTATTTATTCAATTTGGTATTCCTTGCGGCTGCCCGAGGGCTCAGATCCGTCTGACCGCCTGAGTTTGGGGCCTTGGATGGGAGGGCTTTTAAAGGGCCCACTGAAGACAGTTGGTTGAAGATGCTGCCATTTTTATGGTGCATTCTGGAGAATGTATAGTGAGTGTAATTGTGGGCACCAACTAAGGTTCGCCTGATTCACTTACGTTATTCAGTGCTGATGCTGTAATTCCTCCATTAAAATGCCCTGAAATTGACTTTACTTTGTTCCAGCTGCACTTCACACCACATCCATGTTGGCACCTCCTTCAATCGCCTTTCATTTATCATCTCCTCAATGGAAAATGCCAAATCAGCTAAAGCAATTTGCTGTCAGCAAGGTACTGGCGATAAAAGTGGCCCACTCCACACACAGGCAGATCCCCATTTGGCCACCTCCTCCTCCCAGTCAATAAAATGCCTTTTAATTAATCGGACGGCTGGCCGGAGGACGGACAATTTTCCGGACGCTGTGCGTCAGCTGTTGTGGCTACCAAAGGGGAACAGGACTCCGGGAACAGGACATTCGAATGCAGCGACGAATTGTGTGCATAAATTATGCAGCCAGCCATTTTGGGAGCACCACATTTATGGTATTTTACCTTTTTTTTATGTACACGGTATGGGTAGAAGGATATCCAGCATTGATCCATTTATACAGCACCTTTAATGGGGAATATTTTATGTGCTTATGTATAGCAATCACGGGATGTGCCTCAGCTGCTGCCAATTAGTTTCCACTACTTTAATTAGTATTGCCTAGTAGTAGGCCAAGTATTGTATAGAGTAACTTGTGGTCGCAACCAAAGGATTCAACGAATTTACTTCCTTTTTTTGGACTGGTTAGGGAAATTCCCACTTGGCTGACCAGCAACAATATGTTGCAAACGTTTAATTTGAACGCGTCTCTAATCGCTGTCCTGGCAACGAGGACTCTCCACCTGCCACCTGAAATCTGGGCGCTGTAATTGCGTTCATTGAATTGTTAACTGGTCTGCTTGTCTGCCAGCCTGCATTTCAGTGCCCGAAAACCGCAAACTTGCAGCGAGGGCGGCCAAAAGCCGTTGTTATCCTTGTGGTCCTTGTGGCTTTGTGTGAACGCGACTGCGAGTGTAGATGTGGATGTGAATGTGGAGGTGAATGTGGACGGGTCCCCTTGAGCTGATTTCCGCACTGGTTGGTGGGTCCTTCGATATCCCGGTCAAAGCACATCAAACTTTTTGGCTCTCCCTGCGGGCCATCTGCATTTGGCATTTATTGGTATTGTTCCAATTAAAGTTGGACTTGGTCATAAAATATGCAAGCTCAGCGAACCAGTTAGCCATTCGGCATTCGCCATTCGACATCGCACAACTTCTGGTTCGATTTGGCGACCACAGGACATTAATGCGTTACGGTCAATGGTTGCGACTGCAACTGAGCCAACGCTGCCAATAAAAGGTAATAAAATGGCCCATCCTTCGATAGTCAATGGCGATGGTCGAAGTTTCGCAATGGAGTGACTTCTGCAGCTACTAAGTGGGTTTGCTCAGTTAGGATCAATTACAATTGTGCCAATGTAAAAGCCAGAGCGAAAGCAAGTCGAGTTCCCAGACTATCAGATACCTTTAACTCTACGAGTAGCGGGTATAATTATAATAAATTAAATTTAAAAAATAAATTTATAATTATTAATGCAGATTTTTAGAGAATTTCGCCAGAAACATTTAGAGGCATGCCACTTCAAAATCCGATTAAGATAAGTTGAGTTATGGAGTTTAGAACTTCCGCCTTGGGGCATTTCTTGATAATCTAGAATTTCTACATCAGAAAAACTACAAATAAATTTAAAAAAAATAAATTTCTAAATTTGAATGCAGTTCTTTAGAGAATTGCTCCAGAAACATTTAGAGGTATGCCACTTCAAAATCCGACTAATATAAGTTGAGTTATGGAGTTTAGAAGTTCTGCCTTAGGTCATTTTTTAATAATCTAGAATTTCTACATCAGAAAAACTACAAAAAAATTAAAAAAAAATAAATTTCTAAATTTGAATGCAGTTCTTTAGAGAATTGCGCCAGAAACATTTAGAGGTATGCCACTTCAAAATCCGACTAATATAAGTTGAGTTATGGAGTTTAGAAGTTCTGCCTTGGGGCATTTCTTGATAATCTAGAATTTCTACATCAGAAAAACTACAAAAAAATTAAAAAAAAATAAATTTCTAAATTTGAATGCAGTTCTTTAGAGAATTGCTCCAGAAACATTTAGAGGTATGCCACTTCAAAATCCAATCAATATAAGTTGAGTTATGGAGTTTAGAAGTTCTGCCTTGGGGCATTTCTTGATAATCTAGAATTTCTACATCAGAAAAACACAAAAAAATTAAAAAAAAATAAATTTCTAAATTTGAATGCAGTTCTTTAGAGAATTGCTCCAGAAACATTTAGAGGTATGCCACTTCAAAATCCAATCAATATAAGTTGAGTTATGGAGTTTAGAAGTTCTGCCTTGGGGCATTTCTTGATAATCTAGAATTTCTACATCAGAAAAACACAAAAAAATTAAAAAAAAATAAATTTCTAAATTTGAATGCAGTTCTTTAGAGAATTGCTCCAGAAACATTTAGAGGTATGCCACTTCAAAATCCAATCAATATAAGTTGAGTTATGGAGTTTAGAAGTTCTGCCTTGGGGCATTTCTTGATAATCTAGAATTTCTACATCAAAAAAACACAAAAAAATTAAAAAAAAATAAATTTCTAAATTTGAATGTAGTTCTTTAGAGAATTGCGCCAGAAACATTTAGAGGTATGCCACTTCAAAATCCAATCAATATAAGTTGAGTTATGGAGTTTAGAAGTTCTGCCTTGGGGCATTTCTTGATAATCTAGAATTTCTACATCAAAAAAACACAAAAAAATTAAAAAAAAATAAATTTCTAAATTTGAATGTAGTTCTTTAGAGAATTGCGCCAGAAACATTTAGAGGTATGCCACTTCAAAATCCAATCAATATAAGTTGAGTTATGGAGTTTAGAAGTTCTGCCTTGGGGCATTTCTTGATAATGTAGAATTTCTACATCAGAAAAACTACAAAAAAATTAAAAAAAAATAAATTTCTAAATTTGAATGCAGTTCTTTAGAGAATTGCGCCAGAAACATTTAGAGGTATGCCACTTCAAAATCCGACTAATATAAGTTGAGTTATGGAGTTTAGAAGTTCTGCCTTGGGGCATTTCTTGATAATCTAGAATTTCTACATCAGAAAAACTACAAAAAAATTAAAAAAAAATAAATTTCTAAATTTATTGCTCCAGAAACATTTAGAGGTATGCCACTTCAAAATCCAATCAATATAAGTTGAGTTATGGAGTTTAGAAGTTCTGCCTTGGGGCATTTCTTGATAATCTAGAATTTCTACCTCAGAAAAACACAAAAAAATTAAAAAAAAATAAATTTCTAAATTTGAATGCAGTTCTTTAGAGAATTGCTCCAGAAGCATTTAGAGGTATGCCACTTCAAAATCCGACTAATAAAAGTTGAGTTATGGAGTCTAGAAGTTCTGCCTTTGGGCATTTCTTGATAATCTAGAATTTCTACAACATCATACATCAGAAAAACTACAAAAAAATTAAAAAAAAATAAATTTCTAAATTTGAATGCAGTTCTTTAGAGAATTGCTCCAGAAACATTTAGAGGTATGCCACTTCAAAATCCAATCAGTATAAGTTGAGTTATGGAGTTTAGAAGTTCTGCCTTGGGGCATTTCTTGATAATCTAGAATTTCTACATCAGAAAAACTACAAAAAAATTTTTAAAAAATTAATTTCTAAATTTGAAAGCAGTTCTTTAGAGAATTGCGCCAGAAACATTTAGAGGTATGCCACTTCAAAATCCAATCAATATAAGTTGAGTTATGGAGTTTAGAAGTTCTGCCTTGGGGCATTTCTTGATAATCTAGAATTTCTACAACATCATACATCAGAAAAACTACAAAAAAATTAAAAAAAAATAAATTTCTAAATTTGAATGCAGTTCTTTAGAGAATTGCGCCAGAAACATTTAGAGGTATGCCACTTCAAAATCCAATCAATATAAGTTGAGTTATGGAGTTTAGAATTCTGCCTTGGGGCATTTCTTGATAATCTAGAATTTCTACATCAGAAAAACTACAAAAAAATTAAAAAAAAATAAATTTCTAAATTTGAATGCAGTTCTTTAGAGAATTGCACCAGAAACATTTAGAGGTATGCCACTTCAAAATCCGTCTAATATAAGTTGAGTTATGGAGTTTTGAAGTTCTGCCTTGGGGCATTTCTTGATAATCTAGAATTTCTACATCAGAAAAACTACAAAAAAATTTTTAAAAAATTAATTTCTAAATTTGAAAGCAGTTCTTTAGAGAATTGCGCCAGAAACATTTAGAGGTATGCCACTTCAAAATCCAATCAATATAAGTTGAGTTATGGAGTTTAGAAGTTCTGCCTTGGGGCATTTCTTGATAATCTAGAATTTCTACATCAGAAAAACTACAAAAAAATTAAAAAAAAATAAATTTCTAAATTTGAATGCAGTTCTTTAGAGAATTGCACCAGAAACATTTAGAGGTATGCCACTTCAAAATCCGTCTAATATAAGTTGAGTTATGGAGTTTTGAAGTTCTGCCTTGGGGCATTTCTTGATAATCTAGAATTTCTACATCAGAAAAACTACAAAAAAATTTTTAAAAAATTAATTTCTAAATTTGAAAGCAGTTCTTTAGAGAATTGCGCCAGAAACATTTAGAGGTATGCCACTTCAAAATCCAATCAATATAAGTTGAGTTATGGAGTTTAGAAGTTCTGCCTTGGGTCATTTCTTGATAATCTAGAATTTCTACATCAGAAAAACTACAAAAAAATTAAAAAAAAATAAATTTCTAAATTTGAATGCAGTTCGTTAGAGAATTGCTCCAGAAACATTTAGAGGTATGCCACTTCAAAATCCGACTAATATAAGTTGAGTTATGGAGTTTAGAAGTTCTGCCTTGGGTCATTTTTTAATATCCTAGAATTTCTACATCAGAAAAACTACAAAAAAATTAAAAAAAAATAAATTTCTAAATTTAAATGCAGTTCTTTAGAGAATTGCTCCAGAAACATTTAGAGGTATGCCACTTCAAAATCCGACTAATATAAGTTGAGTTATGGAGTTTAGAAGTTCTGCCTTGGGTCATTTTTTAATATCCTAGAATTTCTACATCAGAAAAACTACAAAAAAATTAAAAAAAAATAAATTTCTAAATTTGAATGCAGTTCTTTAGAGAATTGCACCAGAAACATTTAGAGGTATGCCACTTCAAAATCCGTCTAATATAAGTTGAGTTATGGAGTTTTGAAGTTCTGCCTTGGGGCATTTCTTGATAATCTAGAATTTCTACATCAGAAAAACTACAAAAAAAGTAAAAAAAAATAAATTTCTAAATTTGAATGCAGTTCTTTAGAGAATTGCTCCAGAAACATTTAGAGGTATGCCACTTCAAAATCCGACTAATATAAGTTGAGTTATGGAGTTTAGAAGTTCTGCCTTGGGTCATTTTTTAATAATCTAGAATTTCTACATCAGAAAAACTACAAAAAAATTAAAAAGAAATAAATTTCTAAATTTGATGCAGGTTTTTAGATTAATGCTTCCTTCTGTCTGTTACATACTTTTAAACGAATGTAGTATACCCATTTACTCTACGCGTAACTGGTATAATTACATCGTAAATTTCCGTTGTCAACTCCCTCTGAAAGTTATCAAAATGCGCAAACATTTCGTTAACTCGTTTTATACGGCTCAGGTGCGCTTGGCTATTAAACCCGTGCCAAAATCAAGCGTCGTGACGCATTCACCTTTGACCCGCCACCCGCTCCACCCACCGCAGAAAGTTTCGCACCACATGCTGCATGCACCAGCCTCTCAGCCCAAAATGTTGTGGCACGTATTGGCCAAAGCCAAAGTTTCGGCGACGCGCTGGTGAAAACGTCTCTTGCGGCTTGGCTGCCAACTGCTTAATCAATTACGCAACTTTGTAACAACATGCGAGTCTTGGCCAAAAAGCGTGCGCCGCATGCATTAGACTGAGCTAAAAATACGAAAGTGCAGCTATCCCCGAAGGGCATGAAAATGTGAAAATGAAATCGGGACCTCTCGGAATAGTCTCTCAAAATTCTCAAAAGAAAATCAATAACAGAGTAACAAATTTGTGTAGTTAGTTTTTGGATTCATTAGGCAACATTCTGGCCAAGGCGCACCCTGCAAATTAAGGAGCATGCTGTGATTTGAAGAGCTTGCGATAGACCATCGTAGAAATGCCCTCCAAGAAGTGTTACTGCCCCGTCACTCATGTCATCTTTGACTGCGATGGAACCTTGATAGGTCAACAGTCCTCCATTTAACTGATTGCATAAATAATTGATTGAATAAATGATTTTCCGCGCGCTTTTCAGATAGCGAAGGCATCTACCTCAAAACGGTTCAGGAGGTGCTGGCTCCATATGGCCTCACGTACACCAAAGCCGACCAGACGCTGCATATGGGAATGCCGATCTGTGCATTTTCCCAGCATATCGTCAAGGATCTAAATCTGCCGCTGTCAGCTGCCGAATTTCGCCAGCGATTCGAAGCGGCTACTGAGAAGAACATGAAAAATGTGAGTTTGCTGCCAGGGGTCAGGGATCTGATTCTGCACTTGCACGAATACCGCATACCCTTCTGCATTGCGACGAGTTCGTTTAAAAACCTGTTCAAAGTGAAGGCCGAGTCCTTCAAGGATTTATTTCTGGCCTTCCACCACGTTGTCTGTGGCGACGACCCGGAACTGGGACCGGGAAGAGGAAAGCCCCAGCCGGATATATATCTCCTGGCCGCCTCGCGATTCAATCCGCCCGCAGATCCCAAAAAGTGCCTCATATTCGAGGATGCTCCGGTGGGCCTAAGGGGCGGCATAGCAGCTGGAATTCAAGTGGTCTTTATTCCAACTGATCAAGTTACCAAGCAGCAGAAAAAGGGCGCCAGCATGGTGCTCAAGTCGATGGCGGACTTTAGGCCCGAGCTCTTTGGCCTCCCAGCGCTTGACACCTGCTCCAAGTTCGAGTTCGGCTAGCGCCTAGCAGCCAAAATTGATCCGTCAAAATTCCATTATAGTTTCTATCAATGAAATAAAAAATAGTCCTAAATTCAAGTGTACTAAAATGTCGGAGGAAGATGGGGCTAGAAAGGCGAGTTCCAGGCGCTGCTTTTTCCAGCCAGTTACCCATTGCATTTTCGAGCTCGATGGTCTGCTGATAGACAGCGAGCGTTTGAGAACAGAATCCGTTCAGAACATTCTGGAGCCCTATGGTCACACGTATAGCTTCGATCTGAAGATGAGGTGCATGGGCAAGCCGGACTCCGAGCAGGCTGCGCTCATCGTAAACACCTTCAATCTGCCCTTCAGTCTGACGGAGTTTGAGAGCCAGCAGGAACTTCAGTGTCGTGGCAAAATGGGTTCCATTCGACTGATGCCTGGTGTGGAGCGTCTGCTGCATCACCTGGAGGAGTGCCACATTCCCATGGCGATCGGCAGTGGCAGCTGTCGGGACTCGTTTAGGATAAAGACCCGCCGGCACTCCAGGCTCTTCGATGTCTTCCACCACGTGGTCTTGAGCGGCTCCGACGAAGAAGTCAAGATGGGCAAGCCCGCTCCGGATATTTTCCTCACCACCGCCTCTCGTTTCGAGGACTCGCCGGAGCCGAGCAAGTGCCTCGTCTTCGAGTCTTCTTTGGTTGGAATGGAGGCTGCTCTGGCCGCCGGCATGCAGGTGGTCCTGGTGCCCGATCCTCTCGTATCCATTCGAGCAAGTGCTCCGGCCACTTTGAGGCTGCGATCGCTGGAAGCGTTCAGGCCACAATATTTTGGACTGCCTCCTTTATGAGACACCAATACCATGCAGTTTGAAATAAAATGTTGAAGCTTGTCAAGCTTGAGAAATATAGACAACATAACCATGTTTCTAGTGTAAATTTTCGTATTTTTAGACCTTGATGCAGATAATGTTGATTTAAATTCGTTGAAAATTTCTCCAGCCCCGAAATTCGTCTGGGAGAAAAGGAAGATGTGCACTTCCGGCTGCAGGACCTGCAAATCTCAACCAGCTTGTGCTGGCTGTTCCCCAGCGTGCTGCGGTCCGTGTATCAGCTACTGCATTTTCGATCTGGAAAGTGCCGTCTTTGGTGAGACTAGAGCTGAAGAAGTGCCTTTGTAAAGCAGTGTGTCTTTTCAGATACTCGCCACGTCTACCGGAAGGCTCTCAAGGAGCTGGCTCGTGGTTTTGGTAAGAGGATCCCAGATATTTTACACGTCCAGAGTGGGCCTATGACGACGTCGGAGATGTCCGAACTGTTTTGCCGGAAACTCGACATTCCGATGAGTTGGGAATCGTTTAGGTACGAACTTAACGAGCGGACCTCCCAACTGATTGCAAATCCCCCGTTTATGGATGGTATCGAGCGGTTGGTCCCGCACCTGCGCAACTCCTGCCTGGAATTGGGCCTGATCACCTCCAGCAACGAGGTGAACTACTGCGCGAAGATCCGCGGTCGGGAGGACTTCTTCGAGAACTTCTCCACCGTGGTCTGTGCGGATGACCCGGAGTTGAGGGCCTACAAGCCCGAGCCCGACGTCTACCTGATTGCCATGTCCAGGCTGGGCGACGCTGGACCGGACTGCACCCTGGTTTTCGATGGCACTCCCAAGGGCGTTCAGGCGGCGAGCGATGCTCGACTGCCCGTCATAATGTTGGCCGACAAGGACCTGCCCTGCTGTTGGTCCGAGCTGGCCGCCTTGCGCTTCGTAGCCGCCGAACTATCCATTTTAAATTTGAGAGAATGAGCCATTAGAGCAGATCTATAAGAAAACATGTGTTTTTGTAAGCTAATAAAAATAAGAGGAAATTTCTCCACAAAGGAGTGCGATTGTGAGTGAGAAGGTCCACTTTGTTTTCAATGTCAGTGCTCGGCCAAATTCGTAGAACAAAATTGAAGTGTTGAAAAATTTGTTAAGTTCGGCCCAAAAATGTGCAGTGCGTGCTGTAAGTCTTGCAAGGCTCCGCCAGGATGTTCCCGCTGTCCACCGATGTGCTGTAGTCCGGGCATCAGCTATTGCATTTTCGATCTGGAGAGCGCCGTTTTCGGTGAGGTAGTCATCGCACATATGGCCCATGTAACTAAGACCAGACTTCCCATATAGACACACGTCATGTCTATAGGAGGGCCCTGATTGAGCTGGCCTCGAGTTACAACAGGATGGTTCCCGAAGCGGTCCTGATGCAATGTGGTCCCATGGAAACGGCTGAGATGGCCGAGATGGTCTGCCGGAAATGCGATCTGCCCGTGAGCTGGGAGTCCTTTCGCTTCCAGCTGAATGAACGAACCTCCGACTTGATTGCCAATCCCACCCTGATGCCCGGAGTAGAGCGGTTGGTCACCCACTTGGGCAGGTGCTGCATGGGACTGGGCCTGGTCACCTCGTGCTCCGAGTCCATGTACTGCACTAAGATCCGGGATAGGGAGGACTTCTTCGAGAGTTTCTCCTCGGTGATCTGCGCCGATGATGCGGACTTGAAGGCCCCAAAGCCGGAGCCGGATGTCTATTTGATTGCCATGAGGCGGCTGGGAGACGCCGGACCAGACTGCACCCTGGTTTTCGATGGCACTCCCAAGGGAGTCCAGGCCGCGACGGACGCCCGACTGCCGGTGGTAATGTTGGCCGAAAAGGACCTTCCCTGCTGCTGGTCGGAGCTGGCCACTTTGCGTCTGGAAACCCTGGAGGAGTTCGACCCGGAGGAGTTCAATATGCCGCCGTACAGCTGCACGGAACCGCCTCCCCGGAAATCCAAGCCTCCAAGTCGTCGTAGTACCCAAAAATCCGCGGCAAGTCAGCGGGATTCCGCTGCCCTGAAGAAAGCTGATGCGGATGCCGACGAGGGGGAGGAGGAGGAGGGCGAAGGCCAGGAGGTTGCATAGTGCAAATTGTTCCGGATTTTATTGTATTGCATCTTTGGGAATAACTGGTTAATATGCGTAGAACATACTGCCACAACTAGTAAAAGTGATAAGTCATAAGCGCTGGCTTTAATATGTCCATTTTTGCATCCGCTGGTATTTCAACCCTTCAAGCCAATTCATACGTAGTTAACAACTCAGCAGATTTGCGGTTCAATATCCGTCCAAATGCAGGCAATCTGCCTAAAAGCTTTTGCAAGTAGAAAGGGGGATTTTAACTTAAAAGCTTAGCATATTAAATCCTAGCTGCTGTGAAAGATTTGCTAAATGCACGTGTTCATTACTTGGTGTTAATGAAATGCCAATTAATTGAAGCATTTTTCTTGTTACTTTGAGTTGAAGCATTGAGTTGATCCATAAAACTCCGAGCTGCGATAAGCCGACTTAGCATTATTATAAACTATTGAAAAGGGAATTGTTTGCTCATCTGCTGAATAATGAATATGGTTTAATTGAAAACGCTTTCGGGATAACAAGGAAATTGAATCCTATCAGCGAGCACACACTCATAGAAAAAAGGCAATGCAAATTCAGATGGAGATTAAAGAGCATTATAAATAATGCCGATTGTCTGAATTTTGCCATTGTTCCGTGTTCGTTGTTCATTGGCATTTGACTAGCTCATCAAGTGCTTTCAATTAAAGATGATTAAGCGTTTTCCATTCTCCGCATTCACTGGATTCGCATTCTGCAAGACAATAAATCCCGGTTGCGTTCTGCATTTTCTTGCCGTCATCTTTGCTCTGTCTCTCTGCCAAAAGCCAATTGTTTGACAATTTAATTATTCAACACATTACGCATACGCAGTGTGCGCCAGTGTGCGAATGTGTGCGACTGTGTGTGTGTGTATGTGTGTGTGTGTCTGCCGGTGTCTACAAGGGTGTAGACATGCAATATGTTTGCCTAGTTGCAGATGCCAACTTGCAACTTTCAGCCAACTGCTGGCAACTTATAATTACTTAATGTTCAGCTCGGAAAATGTGTCTCCTGCCCCCAAAAGTCGGGCTTAGCCCCACGACTCCTAAAAACGTCAGATGGCGCAAAGTGAATAAACCTTTTAACTCTTTACACACATTTTTTGGCCTTATTTTTTAACTTTTCCCTGGCTTTTCTTCCGTTTCTGCCTAATGAACGGGCGCCACAGGAAGCACTCAAGGGCGAAAAGCTCAGCAGAACTGAAAATGCATGAAAATAGTGAAAAGAAATCGCATAAAATGGAAAGTGCCATGAGGAGTAAAAGTAAAAATAATTGTGAGCGTCAAACGAAATCTGCGATTTTTTAACAGCTTCATTTAATTAAGCCAAGAAAAAGAGCCACGGGGTATCTCAGATTCAGTGCGAAGTAAGCTGACTGCTGGTAAATGGTAACGCATTTAAGCCACAAAGCAAACAAAGGCACCAAAAGTTAAAGTAACACGAACATTAAATTGTTGAACATGTTTTAAAACCAATTCGATCGATAAATCTTTGATAACCTCTTGCTGAGCAATATGTAATTTTTGCATCATTACATGCCAATGGCAACGCTTTTCGACTACCGAAGCCGCATTATTTCCGCGATTCAAGTGCTCCTGCGATTTTGGCTGGAACAGCAACGCGGATTAACATGTGTCGACCAGTGCTGAAAAGCTTTTCATAGTCTTACCCAGCATTCCGCTAAATTAATGTTAAAATGCAAGGACGCAGGAGGCGGGTGGCTGGGCGGGTGAGGGTCGCGAACCGCCATCCTGTGGTTTCTGTGGGCGTGGGTGTGCATTCAGAGTGAGCTTTGTGCGAGCCTTGTTATAAAGCATTAATCAAGCATACCTGCTGGGCAATCCCCAACCCCAACCCAATCGCAATCCCCACTCTCTTTCCACTGCGGCCTTTGCCTTTGCTGTTTGTGGTGGCGACAACGACGCACCACCCAACCACCCAACCACCCAGCCACCCAATCCCCCCTCCCCCGCAGGCCACTCGTCCAGTGGCTCAAGCCCACGGCCACCACCATTCAAAAGGGCACTAAATTGCCGCTCATTATGATGGGCTGGCATAACACGTATGCCCTAGTGGTGACAACGTGACTTAGGGTATTAAATTAGGGTATAATATATTTGAACGCTTAAGGTAGAAAGCCAGATGCACGTGGCTTGAAAGTAACTCAAAGGTTCCGCGATTGCATTCATACGTAAATTAATCATTTAAGTGACTATTGTGAAATAGTTGGGCTATTTCTAGTTTCACGCTGCCATCTCTGCCTGCTAAACCAATTTGTGTACGTGAGTATGTGTCCTTTTGCAATTTTCCAGCTAAATGGCATACATTAATTAACGGTTTTGTGCGACAGGCGACTCGGGTCCAGATCCAGGTTCAGATTCAGGTCCAGACCCCAGAATGGCATTCATTCCGAGCCTGAGCCCCCCTTCCCCAGCTGCCGGCTCACGAAAAGATTAATGGTGCGCTATTAATGTGTAATGACAAATGTTAGTGCCCCGAATGCCACGCCCCCGCCACCGCCAGCGCCCCTTTCCAGTTGGAGGTTTTAATCTCGGCCGTGAATGGGTTTCGTGCCTCCTGATGGGCGGAGGTGTCCATCCATTTGCGAAAATGATTGAAATAAATATTTAATTAAGGTGCCAAAGTGCAACAGCAGCAAAAGCAAAAGCAGCAGCCAGGAAACAAGGCAAAAAGCAGCTTGCTCTAAATTTTCATAAAAAATTCAATGCCACGCTCCGCCAACAGCCGACAACGATATGCAATAAAGTGCGGGCAGCAAAATGTGTCACCGTGCTACAAATAAAACCAGACGGGGACTTGGGGGATGCGCAAATCGAATGGGGGATACCCTGGAAAGGCAAAGGCGGCGGGTTCAAAAGGGAGGCTCAGTGATGATTTTCATGTAGCGGGTATAAGGTAATGAAAAATGGAAATGATTAAGTAAGTGGCTCAAGGCTGCAACATTCCATGTGTGCTAATGGCACCATGCCCCATGCAACGAAATAAAAGCGAGGAGCAGCAACATCAAAATCCCTACCTGCAACTCCAGCGGCAGCGCCAAAGTGACAACAACAGAAGTCGGGCCAGATCGGAGCGAGGACTGGAGATATGGAGCAGGAACGGGCGGAGGAGCCCGGTGGGGTGGACACTTTGACCAACTGGTGTGCTGTTGCGGCAAACAAGTAAATAAATGACAAACTAAAGCCAAATTAAGTAAATAAAATTGTTGCCGCTGTCAGGGGCATAAAGTGACGCCTGACACGGACACGAGAACATGGGGCCAGGACATGGGACACAGGACTCGGTTCCTGGAGACTGACAGGACACAGGTTGGGGATCTCAGACGCAGGACTTCAGAGTCCTGTGACAGGCCTGAAAATGTCAACAAGTCGACTGCGAGCAGCAAAAAACGTACAAACACACACGCGTCTGAAATGTTGCAACAACTATGGTTGAGTCAAAGATCAGGCTGAGGTTAAAGGTTGCGAGAACTGGATTGCCTGAAAGGCATTGGAAAATTAAAATGAGAAAAGGACGATAACCTCCGAGGACTTGCAGTCCGGCCTAGACAAACCCAAAAGACTTCTGGTTCGCATTGGGCAGACAAACGCTGACATCTGTCAAAACGAAAAGCGCACAATTTATCACAGGCAACAATAACGCAAATAAAGCCCTCAAAAGTACTGTGGGGATCCAAAGAGGAGACAATAGGAGCTCGATAAGTGGGTAGCTGCGGAGTAGTATGGACTGCATGATACCCAGTACGGTAGTGCGATGCACATGCTCCTAATCCAGCTGCAGTTAACCCTTTTCCCATGTGGCGTAGCATGTTTCCTTAATCACCACCACCAGCAAAGCCGCCAGCCTTAAAGCGACAAATGGTAACAAAGGGGTATTAGATGGACACCCAAATCCGGAGCTCAGCAGTGCCAGGAGACGGGAAAAGTGGCAGGATGAAGCGGAAGAGCCTCAGCCTCGTTGACGACAATGGAGTTGGTCAGGCGGAGATAGTGGCCAAAAAGAAAGGGGAAACGAGACGAGCCCAGCTCGGGTTGATGATACGTAAGCCAAATGAAAAATCGACTCCCCAAGTGGGTGACTTCTGCATGTGTCCTTGCGGGTCCTTGCAGCCTCATCCATCACACCAGCCCGAAAAGGGAGCAGAGACCATGAAGGGGCATGCAACTTCCGCCACTTCGCAGGGTCTTCTGTTATCCGTTGCCTGTTTTCAGATTATTTTTGTTTAAGTGCGCGATTATCCAGCGAATAATCTGATGGAAATTCGCTGTGTATTCATGTGTAGAAGGCTATTAGAAAGCAGAATTATTATTGTGCAAAATGGTACAATTTAAACAAAATTAGCTGTGGATACTCTTGTTAATATAAACATTTTCCTCAATCGACGAGCTATTTTAACAAATTATTTTCCTTGGAAAGCCTCTTATATCCTTGGAACATTTTGCAGAGCGAGCTCAAAAGCAACGTACCATTTTAATTTTTGTTACAAATTCGGAACATTTATTTTTGTTTAATGAAAATTTTCCCCGACTTTCTATCCGGTGCGGTTTTTATTGTTTGTTTCGCCCTCCGCCCCCGCCACCCGTCTTGTTTATGTTTAATTTGGACTTTTGTCATGGTGGAGAATGGGAATCCCCCGACCCGCACTGCGATAAAACTAATGTTGACTTTGGACTGACCCGCTTTGCTGGCTCATATATGAATACACATGGATGTACAATGTACACTATACATACGTGTGCTTGGGCAGCAAAAAATGGCAATAATTATAGCTGCTGAGGTCACAAAAAGTGAGCATATTAGTGTGCGTATGTTTCTGTGGTTCTGGGTTGGTTTTTCTAGCTTTCTAGCGGCCAAGAGAAATGCAATTACACTCGTATCTATTGCACTCGCAATTGTTCCGCTGCCAGTGTGTTGGTGTATCTGTGCATCGGTGTGTGTTCAAGTTATGTTGTGCAATTTTATATTGAGGTCACTGCTGCTGACAGTAATTTATAAAAGTTTTGTTCATTTTTTCCGCCCGGGGCACAAAAAGGTCAAGAGTTTTGCTCATTTGTAGTCACTTGATGGCTGTGGCTGTGAATGGCGAATGGCGAATGCGACTATGCGACTATGCGAGATTAAATTGGAATTATGTGGGCACAAAACAAAGCGGTGAGCGAATCTACCAGCAGATTTGCAATATCATCTTTGCGGGGCATAAATGAAATGAAATTAAAAAGTTCCTTTACTCTTAGGAACTCGAGCACTATGTACTTTCCTTCCTAAATTTGAGATGCATGGTCTGCTTTTGACAAATATTTTATTTTAACTATAGGCTGCAGTGCCATGGCCTAATATTGCTATATTTTCCTGCGATTTGAGTTGTAGCACAGCTTTTGCTGCAGCTAAGCATTTGCAACACGCATTTCAAAAACGCTCTTTTCAGCATCTAGAAATCTGACGAGAACGCGATTCGAACTTCTCGCTGGCGCCATCTATCTACTCGTCGCTTCAAAAGTGCCACTCAATCTCACACTCCCACTGCGCAGACTCAACTCATCCCGGAGCGAAGGCACCACACTCATTCAGCCCAGTGGAGGCAGAGACCCGGTCTTCCGGAGAGGAAGACAGAGCTGGAACTTCACTTCGACAATGCAATAGGTGGGCGCAGGATGTGGTGGTCGAAAGGTGGGCGCCACTTTCAAGGGAAGCGGGACAGTTAGGAGCCCTGCCTGTAATGTCATAAAAATCAGTGCATAAAGTAGCAAAATGCGTACAAATATTAATAAGGCCTTTATCTGGGGCTCGTTGGACGTAAACCCGATTGCGAGGCACTTCGATTTGACGACCAGTTTTGGCCTTCAAGTGCGGCACCTGCCGCGCTTAAGCGAGCCATGAAATATGCATGGGAATCTGTCTGACCCAACAGCCCAATGGAAATGGGGATGCAATGGCTCGGAACACCGGGAACGGGGTGCCACATGGCGAAAGGCCGGGGAGACAAGGCCAAAAGTCGTCGAACTGTGAAAGCGGCTCAAACCAACTATAAACACCCACTCGACACAAAAAACATTTTCATATGCTGAGCCTGCCGGCCAAGTGTAAAAGCATTTCGCAAAATACACACTCATACATATGCCGGCGCGCTGCGAACTTTATTAATATTATTTTTATGATTATTATTGCGCCCTGGACGTGAGCTGGCATAATTACCCAAACGATGTCCTGTCCGAAATTGGCCAATCGCAGTGATAATAAAAACGCATAAATGCCACCGCCGCCAGCACATGGAAGCTCGGCGGACAGCGACAATATTTTAATTAACTTAATTAAGCAATTTTTATTTGCCCACAGCCAGGTGTCCGAGTCTCCGTGCTCCCATTGTTTGCCTTCTGCTGAACCGAAGGACACCATGAATGCAGGACTTAACCCAAAAAGCATTATCCCCTGTTTTCAGGTCTGCAGTGTGCCGTGGAAAATGTGGCCTACAGTCGATAAAGGCCATAGCGCCTTTAAGCCTTAAGCCCCTTCCCACCATTCATAAGTAAGGCATGAGGACCAGCATTCAATTTAATTGGCATCAGAGGGGTTAGGTTAAGTCAGCACAGCGAAGTGTTTGGAATTTGGGCAAAACGTATCAACGCAACGTCCAGTGTGCATGTGCGAGTGTGCGTGTGTGCATGTGTGCATGTGTGTGTGAGAGTTTGCGCGTGTGTGTGTGCGAGTTGACAAGGAACGAGTGTTCGGCGACCTCCTCCGGAAAACATCGGTGGGCGCCGCAGTATAGGGGCGTCCCGGGCGTCCCAGGCATCCCAGGCGTCGTGGTTCGGTTAACCGCTCTTGAAGAGCAGAATGGCCACCTGGCCCAGGTAGAAGTAGATGAAGTGGCGCGTCTCGTGGGTCACATAGGATCCGAAGTTGCGGCCCACGATGCAGTGCCAGGTGGGGTTGTACTTCTTGTCGAACTCCTTCTTGATGAAGGCGGCGATGTCCTTCTCGATGTTGTACTTCTCCAGGGCCTGGGTGGCGCAGTCGACAGCGTCCTGCTGCATCTCCTCGCTCATGTCCGCGTTCTTGATCACCGCCTTGCGATCCGACATCGTGACTGGATTGGATTAGATTATCCCTCTTGCTGGTTATCTGCGGAAAAGCTTTGGGCGCACCTCAGTATTAGTACTATATTTGATTTTAGCCGACTCACTTTGGGGCTCTTGCTATCCGGCTCTTGCTCTGTTCAATGCTAATTTTTTGTGAGCTGCCGCTTTCGACTTCCGGTGCTATGTCAAACTGACGCTTGCTTTGATTTGCCTTTTTGGAATGTCAAACGTGCATTTCTCACTCTCGCTCTCGCTCCCTCTATCTCTTCCTCTCCTTCTTTCTCTCTCTTTCTTTCCCTACATCTACGGCTATTGTCAAACCAAAGACACTAGAATAATAAGCTGCGAAACGGCCATACATTTGTTTTGCACTATGCAGCCACTTTTTTGGTGGCAGCCATAATTGCTCTCTCCCCGCTCGCGTAAAATTGAGAGCATTCAAATCTAAAAATAGAATTCACTTGCTTGTGTGAGTGAAAACAGTAAGTAAAAAAGTGTGCATGTGTGCGTAGATTTGCTAGAAGACACGAAGAACCGAATTTGATTATTGTTTTGGTCAATTTCGTTGTAATCTATAAAATATTATTTATCAAATTAGAATATAACAACAACACACATTTTCTATTATAAAGTAATTTATGAAATTAATTAGGTACATTTTCTTCACCTATTACTATTTCTATGATGTATTTAAATATTTATCCTGTTAAGGCAATGCAAAATTAGAGTTTTTTACATGGTGGCAATCGATTACAAATAATATAGATTGAAAGTCCATAAACTTCTGAAGTGAAGGACATATTTTGTCAAATTTACAATACATGAGCATAGGTGTGCACACAACAGTGATCGACATCGCTGTATGCGTACAAGAGAGCTTCTGGCTCTAGGGCGCTCTACGATTACAAAAATGTGTATACCCGTTACTCGTAGAGTAACAGGTTGAATAGCCGATTTGATCTGGCCATGTCCGTCTGTCCGTCCGTATGAACACGAGATCTCAGGAACTATAAAGATTGAGATTCGGCATGCAGATTCTAGAGACATTTACGCAACGCCCAAAACTGTCACGCCCACACGTTTGAAAAAATTTAAATCTTTTTTTTTTAATTATTTTATTTTTTTACGCATTTCTATCAATGTTCCACAAAATTAAGAAATTTCTCGTTCGCACTTCCACTAGCTGAGTAACTGGTATCTGATAGTCGGGGACTAGACTATAGCATTCTCTCTTTTGGATAACCCTTATTGGGTTAATATATTTTGACGTATACGTCCGCAGTAAGACGTTTAATATCGGAAATATACCAGTCCGAGTGAAATAGGTAGTCCCCATGAGGAACTGGAAGAACATCTGTTACTTGCGTATTAACATGATTTATAGAAAGTTTTTCCAAAATGATATCGTGCTGCAAAAGGAAGGAGTTCGTAAAAGAAACCTGCACTATAATGTTTTCTTTATGAAGACTCACATCATAGGGGCAGGAATGATTTAAGTTTGAGTAATCTTTAAATAAATTGTAAAGGTAAAAAGCAACTGGATTTGATTTTTGGTTTTTAAAAAACCTGCAGGCATCTACCGTAACGTTATAGAGAAATGGCTTATAGCCATTTAATCTCTGAAATATTGCTGCGTTGACCTGAAACGACTGAATATAATAATCCATATGCTATAAATATTATGCTATATTTACGAACTTTTACTTTGACAACGGGCGTCTTCAGCAATTTCACTTTCATTGAAATGTACTTGTAAGTACGATTAATCGATTTTATAAAGCAATAGTCGTAGAGGGCAAACTCGGGCTGGTGGGAAAAGCACTTAACGTTGGTAAACTCCAATTTGGATATAGCCTAAAAAGGTGTTTTATTAGGTTATTAGTGGGTTGGATATTCAAACTGTACTTGCTAGATGAATTGAACACAAGAAAACACTCAGTTGAACTAGACGAATAATAGAAATCATTTTCGACCGCCGTTATGAACAGTTTCGCTAGCAATGGCAAAATGTATTCTTAAAAAATGTAGCTCACCGATTTATATCGGTAAATATTCTAATAACATATAATTCGTTTTTAATCGCTTTATACATTGTATATATTCCAATTAAACCAAATCTCCCTTTAATAAACTAATTAAATCCTACAACTGGATCAAAGACACTAGAATAATTATAGAATTATTATTCTAGAGTATTCTAGAATTATTCTAGTGCCTTTGGTTGGATGTAGGGAAGAGACAGAGAGAGAGATTATAGTCTGAAGAGAAATGCAAGTTTGACATTCCAAAGAAGAAAATCAAAGCAAGCGTCAGTTAATCAAAGACAATTAGAATAATAAGATGCCTAACGCCATACGATTTTTTGTACACAATTTTGTTGTGCTGGCTCCAGGCTCTCTCGAATTATTGTTGAAGAGCCAGGGAGAGAGAGAGAGAGAGAGAGAGAGAGAGAGAGAGAGAGAGAGAGAGAGAGAGAGAGAGAGAGAGAGAGAGAGAGAGAGAGAGAGAGAGAGAGAGAGAGAGAGAGAGAGAGAGAGAGAGAGAGAGAGAGAGAGAGCGCTCTAGAGCCAGAAGCTCTACAGCGACGTCGATCACTGTTGTGTGCACACGTATGCTCATGTATTGTAAATTTGACAAAATATGTCCTTCACTTCAGAAGTTTATGGACTTTCAATCTATATTATTTGTAATCGATTGCCACCATGTAAAAAACTCTAATTTTGCATTGCCTTAACAGGATAAATATTTAAATACATCATAGAAATAGTAATAGGTGAAGAAAATGTACCTAATTAATTTCATAAATTACTTTATAATAGAAAATGTGTGTTGTTGTTATATTCTAATTTGATAAATAATATTTTATAGATTACAACGAAATTGACCAAAACAATAATCAAATTCGGTTCTTCGTGTCTTCTAGCAAATCTACGCACACATGCACACTTTTTTACTTACTGTTTTCACTCACACAAGCAAGTGAATTCTATTTTTAGATTTGAATGCTCTCAATTTTACGCGAGCGGGGAGAGAGCAATTATGGCTGCCACCAAAAAAGTGGCTGCATAGTGCAAAACAAATGTATGGCCGTTTCGCAGCTTATTATTCTAGTGTCTTTGGTTTGACAATAGCCGTAGATGTAGGGAAAGAAAGAGAGAGAGAGAGAGAAAAAAGGAGAGAAAGAGATAGAGGGAGCGAGAGCGAGAGTGAGAAATGCACGTTTGACATTCCAAAAAGGCAAATCAAAGCAAGCGTCAGTTTGACATAGCACCGGAAGTCGAAAGCGGCAGCTCACAAAAAATTAGCATTGAACAGAGCAAGAGCCGGATAGCAAGAGCCCCAAAGTGAGTCGGCTAAAATCAAATATAGTACTAATACTGAGGTGCGCCCAAAGCTTTTCCGCAGATAACCAGCAAGAGGGATAATCTAATCCAATCCAGTCACGATGTCGGATCGCAAGGCGGTGATCAAGAACGCGGACATGAGCGAGGAGATGCAGCAGGACGCTGTCGACTGCGCCACCCAGGCCCTGGAGAAGTACAACATCGAGAAGGACATCGCCGCCTTCATCAAGAAGGAGTTCGACAAGAAGTACAACCCCACCTGGCACTGCATCGTGGGCCGCAACTTCGGATCCTATGTGACCCACGAGACGCGCCACTTCATCTACTTCTACCTGGGCCAGGTGGCCATTCTGCTCTTCAAGAGCGGTTAACCGAACCACGACGCCTGGGATGCCTGGGACGCCCCAATACCACGACGCCCACTGAAATTTAATCTAAAAGTGTAGCCGTGCTGTGGAAGTCCCGTGCAGATTCCGGCCTCCAAAGTCGTTGAGCTTTTCCATCCACTCTACGTAATGCCATTTGCATGTTGGTCGTGTGACCGATGGAGGGACGTAGGGGAAGGGGATAAATCCGATGATTGGTCAGAACTAAACAATGCGCCAAAGATTTTTTGTTTCACTGTACTCGAACTAATTAACACTGTGAGCCACCATTTATAAATATGTTATTTTTGTAACATATTATTTGTACACTTGCGGAATGAGTTTAGATTACGCGTACTTCAATTTTGTATTCATGATCTGTGACTGTTATGTAGTTAAACTTTAAATTATTCCAACCATTCATCCATAAACAAGAATTAAAATATTATAAATGCCATTGCTTATAATTCATAATAGCACTAATGTATCCATGAGCTATTAACAACCATCAAATTGGAGAGTAGGTAAGCTGGTTTTGTTTTTTTTATACCCTTTACTCGTAGAGTAAAAGATCATGTCCGTCCGTTTGTCCGTATGAACGCCTCGATCTCAGGAACTACAGAAGCTAGAATGTTGAGATTAAGCATGAAACTTCCAGAGACATAATTGCAGCGCAAGTTTGTTTCCAAATTTTGCCACGCCCACTTCTTCCCCCACAAACCGGTTAAACCTGTCACGCCCACACTTTTGAAGTTTTTTCATTTCATTACTTTTTTCCCAATTTCTACCGATGTTGCAGAAAATGTTGAAATTTCTCGTTTGCACTTCCACTAGCTGAGTAACGGGTATCTGATAGTCGGGGAACTCGAATATAGCATTCTGTCTTGTTTTTTATATGTTTTTTGAATTTTTTTTCCTATTTAAATCGGCTTGCAAAATTGATTAAGAGTACATTTTGTTATTGCCAGCGAAACTGTTCATAACTGCGGTCGAAAATGATTTCTACTGTTCGCCTACTTCAACTGAGTGTTTTATTGTTTACGATTCATCTAGTAAGTACAGTTTAAATATCCAACCTACTAATAACCTAAAAACAGTACAGTACTAATAACGCACTTAAACACTTAAACTTTTAGGCTATATCCAAACTGGAGTTTACCAACATTAAGTGCATTACCCACGATCCAGAGTTTTTAGTAGTCGACTATTGCTTTCTAAAATCGATTAATCGTACGTACAAGTATCTATCCGTGAAAGCGCACTTGTTTCAGAAGCCCGTTACCAAAGTAAAAGTTCGTAAATGTAGCATAATTCTGTTTATCTATATCATATGTATGATATGTGATGTATATGATATATGATATATGCTTATATGTTGTCGTTTCAGGTCAACGCAGCAACATTTCAGAGATTAAATGGCTATAAGCCCTTTCTGTATAATGTTACGGTAGATGCCTGCAGGTTTTTTAAAAACCAAAAATCAAATCCAGTTGCTTTTTACCTTTACAATTTATTTAAAGATTACTCAAACTTAAATCATTCCTGCCCCTATGATGTGAGTTTTCATAAAGAAAGCATTATAGTGTCAGGTTTCTTTTACGAACTCCTTCCTTTTGCAGCACGATATCATTTTGGAAAAACTTTCTATAAATCATGTTAATAAGCAAGTAACAGATGTTCTTCCAGTTCCTCATGGGGACTACCTATTTCACTCGAACTGGTATGTTTCCGATATTAAACGTCTTACTGTGGACGTATACGCCAAAATATTTTAACCCAATTTTATTATTTTAAAAATAAAACCAACTTACAGAGGAACATAACTCTAATATTTTTCATTCGGGAACTCTCCAATTCGGTGGTTGTTAATAGCTCATGGATACATTAGTGCTATTATGCAATGGCAATTATAATATTTCAATTCTTGTTTATGGATGAATGGTTGGAATAATTTAAAGTTTTTAATAATAGTCACAGATCGTGAAAACAAAATTGAAGTACGCGTGATCTAAACTCATTTCGTGTGCAGCTGGAAGTAACATAATTATAAATGGTGGCTCACAAGTAAACGAAAATCTTTGGCGCATTGACTATTTCCGACCAACCATCGGCTTTATTCCCTAGTACCGCCCTGAAATAGGGACTTCTCCTACTGTCCCTCCATCGGTCACGTGACCAACATGCAAATGGCATTACGTAGAGTGGATGGAAAAGCCTAACGACTTTGAGCTTCAAATCAGAATCGCATGACACGAGTTTGAGGCCGGAATTTGCACTTAATATGAAGTTCGTTTATTTCCCGCTGCTCCTTTTCCCAATCCACGGTGAAAAGGTTGTTAAATTCGATTAGACATGCAATCAGCTCACGGGACTGCCACTGCTGGGCTAAAATGTTAGATTGAATTTTAATAACAGCACTGCGCGGACACTAATCAAGTAATGCAACCAATTTTGAACGGGATCGAGGTATACTCGTATAGTATGTGTGTTCCTGAGCCCAAGAACGACAACATTGTGAACAAATTTCTCTTGTTTTCCTAATGAAAACGCTAATTTATTGGACACACGCCATGGTAATGGTCACGGTTCTTTGGGCTGGACTTTTCCGAGCCTGGTAATCTAATTTATAGCCGGTTTGCTGGGCCTTGAATGCAGGATTTTCCACATCCGCTAGGCTCCCATAACTCACATTTAGCCAAATCATTTATCACAAATTTTTGCACAATATGTATGTTGTGCGGGCCGGAAATGAGAAATGATGCCATTGTATTTGAGCAATGAACTTTGATGTTTCGCTGGTGGGCGTATTCAGATCTGTTAAGAATCACGTCTTCTTATAAATGAAGTGGATAAAATCCCAGCCCTGCTTAAACCAATAAGTTGCAGCCCTGACATGCAGCATGGGGCACTTTGTGGCTGCACTGCATTTTCTGACAGGACTCACTTGCGAAAATGAAAAGTAACTTCATAACCGCACGCTGAATCTTCGCTGCCCTGCCACGCCCCCTTTTCCTGCTACGCCCCTGCGCCACATCCGCAGCGAGCAAGAGCAACACAATTGCACAATATTTCCGGGCGAAGGTAATAAATAAATTGCATACGTAATTAAAATCGACGACTCTGCGCAGGACCCTCGACTTGGCCACCTCCTTTTCAGCCGCAATTACAGCAACAGCGAAAGGAAAACCCAGTGGCAACAACAATAGCTGGAGGAACAATGCGAACAAAAGTTTTCTGACTCGACTCGTCGTGTGTGCTTCCCCTTTAACGTCAACTGTATTTCTTTACCCATTTCCCATTTCCCTCTTACCTTTCTCCCCACTTGCCACGCTTGCCACGCTTTCCCGCTCCTCGGTGGCTTTTCTTGCCTGTTGGCAGCTCTTTTGTTTTTAACCAGAGTTGCATGCGAACAACACGAAAATGGTTAATGGAGGTAATGGGGAAATGGGCTGGAAGGTAAGCCTCGCCGCGTTAGGTTCTTCCCTGATTCGGGGAATCCCTGCTGGGCCATATAGGTGTATCGACGTCAGATTGGCGAGTCCTTTCGAGGAAATTAAAATAAAATATAAATCCTAAGCTTGTGATTTAGTTCAGATAGATGTGAATTCGGGTAAGCTTTCGCCTACCAGTTGTACCATCGAAGGCGATTATACCAAAGCGTTTGTAGAGTATTGTTTGCTTTTAATTTCACTTCATGAGCAATCAACGTCACCGCCGACAAGCCGCCTTGCTTCTGAACAATTTGCATGACAAAAGCCCAGACTCAGACCTGCAACACGTCAAATGGCGAGTATCTTTCACGACTCTGTTCTTCTCCTATTTGACAAAAGTCGCCCGACGAATTGTGAAAAATGTACATTACTGCACCACTCCAGGGTGCAACTGCCACCGTTCATGTTTCGGGCTTTAAGTTACGAGCGCGAAAGGCTCCGCTCGCTGTCGCCAGGCGAGCCATTAAAAAATCAAAACAAGTTAACGGCAGCGGTAACCGAACTAGCCGAGGCGAAAGGCAAACCGGAAACCGGAAGTGAGAACAGGGCTCAGTGCCGCAAGTTTGCGGTGGCGGCGTGCGGCGTGTGCGGAAGTACACCCATACACACAGTACATCTGGGGAGCGCAGCGCCGCAGCGAGTCGATGGAGCCGAATGGGGACAACAACCATCTTGTTGTGGCGTGCACTGAAAAAAAGGGAACACCTCATTCCTGATTAGTTTGGGGGTATGGAATGCATCGAGTACCGGACATTAAAATGTATTTCTTAGATGCGTTTGCACTGATAGGTGGCTTTAAAGTGTAGCCTCGCATCCATGTCCTGTGACTCCAGACCCGCGATTAGAAGGAAAGATTATGGCTAAAGTGCCGGGGTGTGGGACTGCAAGGTGTTGGTCTGAGTCCGCGGCTCCATGTGTGACATGGCGACCCGTGTTTGCCACAGCGGACAACAAACGAGGGTCATTCCGCCCTTGGGGCAACAAGTCAGCCGTGCGGCAGCCAAGGAGGAGCAGCATTCGCAGCAGCTCGGAATCGAGGCACTCGTGCCCTTGGCCAACTTGATATTTCTTGGGATGGCGCTGGGCTCTTGGCTCGGGCAGATGTCAGCGTTTTGGCATTATAATGCCATTAACTTTGCCATAATTCAGTGCAGTTTCGCAGCGAGAATTTATGCATAATGAGCACGGTCTGGTCCTGCTCCACGCTCCACGTTCCACGCCCATGCAGCTGGATACCCAGCGAGCAAAGTTGCTGCTGAACAAGTTGGTAGGTGAGATACTAGCTAGTTGCACTCCAGCTGGCTGGAAATGCTTGCTGGGTGGCCGGGAGCGCTCGAAAATGAGCTCCTTGTTTGCAATGTCGCCCGCCGGGCAACCAACTGCAGTCGGAGTAGTTGGCAGAGTCATGTAGCCATAGAGTTGGCAACAAGCCGACAAGGACCGAAATCCTGGCATATTAGCAGGACATATGGAAGCGCGGCAGTGGGGGTGGCGGTATCCAAGGGCAGGTGCCATTTCTTGGAAGCAGCCAGCAGAAACTGGAGCTTGGTTAACTCACTTGCACTTCAATAGTGGGCGAGCTCCAGCTCAGCGTCAGCGAAAATTGTCAGGCTGTTTGCCTTATGCTTTTCGGGGTTTTTTGGCTCGACTGCCGAAATTTATGACAACGCACATACGGAACCATTTCCACATGCTGCATACGAGTATTTGCATTGGGCAAATTAATTTTGCCTGCCGTATTTACTTACTCCGCTCCGCTCCGTATTTTTGTGCACCAGTGTAATTGTGGGCCTGCGTCGTGCAAACACATTTGGTTAATTAAAAACGGCTGTGCAATGACTTGGCTTTTATCGCAAAATGCCTGTTGCAGGCTAAGCAGGCTAGTTTTTCTAGGGCACACATCTAAGTTACTAATAGTACTCATGCCCGTCGATGTTTGCTAAAGGGTATTTGCTGTGCGCTTCACAGCCTCCACGGAATATCAGAAAATATCATTTTTTACTGCACTGCCAATCAAACAACATGGGTTTTTCCCGAATGTAAATCGAAGCTCCACTTCAGCGGGCTAAATAAATATGTGTGCCCTCCATCAGGGATATTTATGGTTCTCATTACTGTGCCAGAGCCAAGTTAACAAGTTCAAGTGGCGAAAATGCAGCGCCCACGAAACAGGAGGAGCATGCCAGCACAGGCCATTGTTTGCATGCCCTTTGCATACTTTGCAAACTGCTTTCCCGCTTTTCCTGCTGCTTCGAGAGCATCGGAAAACTTTCACATTTGTCTCTGTCGCACTGAAAGGCGATCAAAGTTTTCGGCTTAAATTTCTGCATGCACTTCAAACACGCAATTGGCATGTGACGACAAAACATACGAATCGAATTTTTCCTATCTGGCTGCCGGTTTCCCGGCTTTGCCATTTTGCCATTTTGCCTTTTTGCCTTTTTATGTTGATATTTCAATTTGAAAAGTTTGACTTAGTTCCTCAGCGCTGGCAGCTTTTCGATTAAAGTTTTGCATGCGGCAGATTAAAACTTTCCCATCCCAAGTTGATGCAACTTTTGTTCCTCCGCTGTTTTCTTTTTTTTTTTTTTTAGCATTCTGTGGCATTTTTAGCATTTCTTGGCCACATCTGTATGTCCTTCGTGGTGTTCAAATACGATTGCCAAGTGGAAATCACCTACATATTCGAACATTCATTGGGTCACTAGAGGCATTGGCGGCAATTGGGGATAAAAGTCAACAGGAAAATCTGTCAGCTTGCTTTTCTTTCTTTTCCTTGCTTCTCAATAGATCGTAAGACGGCCTAAATTGCTCCAGACCAGCAGAATAATAATAATTTCCCCCACACGCACCCACAGACACCCGGGGAAATTCGCTTTCTTTTTAATGTCATTAAGGACTTGTTGGCGTTTTCGCTTTTGACGGTCCACAAAACGGCAAACAAGAGAGCACGCTGGGAAAAATGTAAATTCTTAATGCTATTTCAGCGTAATTTGGCAGTTCGTTAGGCTGGCTCACACTCACACTCGCACACGCAGCCTCGTAAATATGAATAACAACAAAGAGCCGCGGAGAAAGCAGGCGGAGAAAGGCGCAAAAGCAAGTGCGATATTTGCGGTTATTGTGTGTGTGTGCGTGTGTGTGTTTGCCACATGACACATCGTTATGCTTTGTTAATGGACTTTGGGCCCGGTCCAAATGAGGTGAAGTTCGGGCGCAGGGGGACGCAGGAAATGCGTGGAAAGTCTGTCTCGGCATCAAATTATACTTAATTATTCAGATCGTGTTAATTTGCATACATTTAAAAGGAAGCTGCGGCAAATTGTCGTCGATTACACTTTGCTGCAAAATGTCTCGTAAAGAATTCAATTGATTTGCTATTTCGTAGCGAGAGCACTTCATCTAATACACACTGCAGTTGCACATTGCCCAATTTAATTTTCGACTTTGTTGGGCTTAAAGCACTCGTCCTGCGTCCTTCGTGCTTCCTATCGCTGCCAGACCAAAAGTACTCACCTGAGCAAATACGCCGAGCATTCGGGAATGTCTGGGTGCCACACCCACCGCACCAGCCGCCCCTTCCACGTGCAGCGAGCAGATCCTAAAATGTAACTTTAAACTGCCCGAGGAGAGGCAACAACATCAAACACTTTGCTCCCGGCTTCAGCTCGAAAACTGCATGCGTGTGTTTACTCTGCCTTAATGAAGTTGTGTGACGGCCGGGTGGAGAAATGGGGGAAAGTGGGTGGAAAATGGGTGGAAAGTGGGGGAAATGGGGGTGGTGTCTACGCATGCAGACAGCTTAGCGTCATCAGCGCCCTCGTTGGCAGAGGTAAATGGCAACCGTAACGTTAATACCGCTGCACATGGAGCGCAAACGAAATGAAATTGCAGGCGGCCAGACAGAGACGTCGCTATATGCCGCCGCCCCTCTCTCTCGCACTTGGGCGCATCAGACATCAATGTCAGCGCGTGTCTTCTATGCAATTAGTGCTTTTGTTGATTACGCTGCGAATGTGTGTTGGGGATTTTCGCCCGTTTTTGCAGCCGCCGCCTACAGGGTAGCAGAGGTAGCTTGGTTCCATTCCAGCCCGGGTAGTGCAGCTGCACCTTTTAGATAATATTTTGAGTTAAAACTGCCTAATTTTTGTAGTGGGTATCTAATAGTTGCAACGTTCGGCCCTGGCTTTTCGGCTTTCGGGAATGCTTAATGAAAGAGAATTCGAAAATGCTGAGTGAAGACCCTGGCGAAAGTGTAATGAGGATTCATAAGGCTTGTGACTTAGCGTGCAGAGCTGAATGGCTCAAAATATGTATCTTTGGACCCGTTTCCAATATGTAGCTCGTTCGAATTATCAGAGCCCAACCCTTTGCAGCACCCTCATCACAATGATCTATGCGGCCAATCAGAAACACAGCCGAAGGAAGCAGCAACATTTAAACAAATTGTTTGGGGAGAAAGCATATTTATAAATATTAAAAAATAAGGGAAAATCAAAAGCGGTGGCTGGGATTGGGGCGGCTAAGGGCGGCACAAAAAATGGGAAAACATTAAACAGATTTGAGCAAATTTGTTTTGGTGCGGGTGCCATCAATAACTTTGGCAGCATATTTGACTTGCAGCCCAGTTGTTGGTTCGCCAAAGGGCTTGGCTGCCAAAAAGGGTTGAGCTTCAAACTCCGGCAGACTTCTGCTAATGTTTGTCCTCCTCCAACTCCAGTTTCATGCAAATGTGCTCCACTTCGCTGCTGTTTTTCCGGCGAATCCCCGTTTGGCCCTCAAATTGCCCGAAAAAGTATGCAACACTTGACAGTTTCTGGCAGCGACGTGGCCTGTGCTAATTTCGTGTTTCCCGCTCCCCAGCTCCCCTTCATGTATTTTTCAAATCGATAAGCAACAGAGTGGAGCACCTACTTTGCCACGTTGCCAGCTTGCCACCTTGCCACCTTGCCACCTTGCCCCTTGGCCTGCTTCCTTTGTTTCGCAAAGTGTATATTTTCGCATGAAAAGCACGAAGTGGATGTCAAAAAAACATTTCCATTCCCCAGCGAATTTTTGTTTTGGCCCGGCCGAAGTTCGTTGGCAACGCCATCGCTCGACCACTCGCAGGTATTACCACAAGGGGCGTAGGTGTGTGGGCGTGGTCCACGTTCCCCAATTGCGGCATGAGCAATTTCCAAAGTTGTCAATGAAAAGTAAGTTCGAAGGAGTCAGTCCCGACAGCGAGATACCGAGTGATCGAACAGCATGGGTATATTGCATTTAACAACGCGGTGAACAACAAAAAGATCTACAAATCGTCGATTTAAGGCTGAACCTACTCTTAATTTGGCGGACTTAATGGCTTTTGGGGCATTAAGAGTTTCAGACCCTAGTCGTCCTTGGCATAACTAAGTGAAATAAATAATTATTAATAGTAAGACTGCTGATAAGGTTCCAGTACCGTTTGGTCCAGAGACGCGCTATCTTGTCATGTTCCACTCGGTTGTTCAGATATTCGACGGCAATACTGTTCACCAGCGGATCCCTGGGATTGCAGTCGGTGAGTAGGGAGCAAATGGATAGCAGAATCTTCGAGATGGTCAGTGCCGGCGACCAGTTCTCCTTCAGGATGTCCAGGCAGATGAAGCCCAGGCGATCGATGTTGCAGTGATAGATGGGCGTGCGGAACACGACACTCGGCGGCACAAAAGGATACTCAACCGGAAAGAGTATGTCCAGCTTGAATATGCCGCCCTCGTAGACGGAGTCCGTTGGTCCGATGATCGTCGAGGTCCACTCGTACAGGTTGTCCTCCTTCGGCCCGGCGCTGCAGTGCGGCGGCGGATCCCGCGACATCTCCTCCAGCTCCCTCTGGATCCTCTTGACCGCACTGCTGTTGAATTTCCGGGTGCAGCAAGGTGTGTCATCCTCTACAGAAGCTGGCATTTCCATATCTTGGGTTGGCGCCAGCTCTCAAAAGTTTGTACTTTCAAGTGACGAATTTTTGTATGTATGGATGGTCGACGGATGGATTTGACAGCTGTCCTAATGGGAAGTGTCACTCCTGGAACACTTGATCAGAGAAATAACAAATAAGACACTGTAGCGCACCAATATACCCGTGCTATCTCAGTACCCTGTAAGAAAGTCAGTGGCTTTTTTATACTTCCTGAATACCGAAGCAGGTTGACTAGAGGCAAAATATTTGCTGTTCCCTGCCCCACTTGTCACTTTCAGTGAGGTGGGCCACAGAAACGACAAAGGATTGACATACTTCAAGTGCCGAATCTCGAATATGACGAAACCACATTTCGTATTCATGAGCTCGCAATCTTCGGGATTCAATTTGTGCGGCAATTTAGTTTGTTGCGTTTTTTCTTCTTTCTTTATTTGATTGATTCGTGGCTGAAGAGTAGAAAGCTTAAAGAAATAGCTCTAAAAATACCATCAAATTAATGATTAAAATATTTCATACAAGGGGTATTACGTTGAGTAGCTACTGCAAAGGTTTTAGCCATGTTAACTATTCATCCGCCGCGACTGAAATTACAGCGTTTCTCCAGTCGGCCGAACTTAGTTGCATTTGTGGAAAACTTGGTTTTAAAGTTTCTAGCGATTTAAAATGTAAATAGCCGGCAATTAGCTGGGAAACGGCGGCATATGCAGGCTGAAAATTGTACACACAGTGCCTCACAGAAGGACGCGCCACCATTTTGCCGTCTGTCACCTGGCATCAATGCCCCAGATGCCGCTGGCGCTGTTTCCCTTCCTGTTCCGCGCTTTTCCTGCACCCCGCTTTTCCTCCAGCCCCTCCCGAGAAAACCAACAATGCAGGCGGCCAAGTGGGAGAGCCCAGTGGTGGGCGGTGGGCGGTGGGCTGTGGGCGTGGACCCTGTGTGCCATTGTGCCTTTGTTGGCCACTTTTTTTCGCCCCCACTGTGCACGAGTGCGTGTGCACGGGGCATTGTTGAAAGTGATGCCCGACTCCGACTTGTTGCCACATCATCGTCATCGCCATCGTCATCATCATCATCATCATCATCAGCAGTCCAGCAGTCGGCTCGTAATGAGCTTGGCACTTTATTTTATTTATTTGTCCGCGCTTTGTTTCAGACGACAAACAGCGACAGCCGTGGAAAATGCCTTGCTGCATTTTAAATTCAAATTAAATAATGATTTAAGTGCCCCAAGAGGCTTTGTCAGCACACAAGTGCAGCGGGTGGGGTTCCGATCCCCCATGGAGTGGGTCAGGTGCAGCAACTTCCTCAGGTGTGCTGCAGTCAGATAAGCCCCTTTTCCCGGGCATGGTTTCCATGCAACCTAAAGAGCTAAAGAGCTGGGAAATGATGCTCTTTTTGAAGCTTTTCAACCGAATTGGTAGTGCAGCTTTAAATGCATTTGCAGTCATTATTTAAGGGCGCTGCTTCCATTAAACATCTATTTTTTATACCACTGAAACCACTGGCATATTTCGTTGTCTAAACAAATTGCAGTCCCTTTTGATAGCCCGCCCCTTTTGTTTTGGCTTGACCCAGTTTTCAGTCCTTGAGCTGCAATGGGGTTTATTCGGCTGCAGAATACGCAACTGTCAGGACTCGGGGCAAGGACCTCTGGGGCATGCAAACTGCTGTGGAAATACCACTCAATCGGGGGAATATACATTTAGATGGGGCTATGCAGAGAGAGCGACAGAGAGAGCGAGATGTACGGCAGAGGGAGACAGGCAGATGGAAAGTTGGACAGTCGGTGGCAAAAGGCAGAAATCAAATTACATTTTCAATATGCGATGCGTACTAAATGTCTGCTGGTGTCAGTTTTGGCTTTCAATGTGCAACATGCAACATGCAACTTGATGCTTGCAGGCTGCACACATAGATGCGATTGTGTGGGTAGAGTGTGTGCCTGCGAGTGTGTGTGTCTGTTCCTGACTGCCACATTTTGATTTGGCGCCACACAAATGGATTTCTTGGCTGTCCATTCAAAACATTTCTATGCGAAGCCACCGCAACTAGAGATGCGAGTGCAAAGCTACTTTGTAATGTATGCCACTTTACTGCTGGGCAAAAGTAAATCAACATAAAGGGAACTAATTGTTAAAGAAGCTGCCTAACAGCATGAGTTTGGTTATTACTATAATTAAGCCTTTATTAATTCATTGAACGAACGAACGAGCAATCACCTCGGAGCTGTGTGCCTTGAAACTGCAGGCTGAATCGCCATAATTTACGACCTAATGCCGACTGATTTGGCCATCTCTAAGTTTGCATTTCGTGTGCGTTGCCCTGTCACTTAATGGAATTTATCACATTTTAACTGTGTGACAGGAGCCAGGCTGCCGGTTGCAGGCTCGCACATTTGGCAGGACCAAGCCCGCAGGATGTGCAGGATGTGCAGGATCCAGGTCCTGCTCATCTGCATCAGTCATTGGCATGCAGGGGAGGCGGTGGGCAAAGTGTCACAGTTATTGATTCGGGCCATAAATAATGCATGGCCAACAAGTGTGCCGGCTTGTTTATTTATTACATGATTTATTCACGCAAACAACGCTCCAATTAAGAGCGTTTTTAAGCGATTAAGTGCAATGTCAAATCCTGTAAACTGGCCACAAAACTTTGCCCCAACTTAACGACTCCAGACAGCGATTATTAAATTAAAACGTGCACGGAAAACTTTTAAATCCCGACGAACGATGGAAAACTTGCAACTCTCTCGCATTTTCTTCCCTATAATTTAATTTCTCTATCTTTTTTCGCCTTCCCAGCTGCAACGCGTAATTTATTATGCGGTGCAAAGTCTTGTGCACCAAATTTGTCACATGGGATAAATAATAAGAAGAAAAGTTCTTCCGCAAAAAATCCACGATGATGAGGAGGAGCATTGCCACCAGATTACTCATACGCCCGTTGGCAACTTGGAGGAAAGAAGGGTTTCCTAGTATATAATAGTGGGATCGGGCGAGCGTGAAATTAGAGCTAAGCTCGGCGAGATGGGGCTTGGGAATGGCCATTTATCATAGGTTTACCATCGGCGATGACGCTGGATTTTCCAGAAATATTTGTGTCAACAAAAGTCTAGCTAAGTATATAAAGAAGTGACCTGACAACGACACTTTTTAGAGTAAAGTTCACACACGTTTTCTGCTGGTTTGCTTTTAATAAGCTATCACAATACATTTGTCCTGAAACGTTTATTTATATGACAACAATCGACTAGCATTTCCCACTAAATCCAATTATTCTAGGCGGATTTTGCCTCCATAAATGGCGTTTTAATGGAGTAACAAGCAAATCGCAGCCAGATCTCTGAGCTTTTTATCGGCGAGACAATTGTCTTGGAACCGCCACTAAATATGTCAGAATAAAGGCAAATTTATACACAAACTGATAAACAGAAATACCAACAAAAGGAGAGCCGGAAAGGAAAAAGGAAATTCATTGAAGGAAAGCCGAAAGAAAAAGCCCAAGGAGGGCACGGCTTTTTTGGCTGGAGGGGTGCAAAGGCAAAGCTGCAACAATTCCTATCTTGACACTGTCATCTATCCGACTGAAGCTGGGAAACTGGGGAAATTGGCCCAACACCGGGTATTTTCCCCCGCTCGCCCCGTGGAAAACCGTCTTCATCTCCGCTGCCATCTTGGGCCGTTTGTTGTTGCCTTGGCACGCCTATCACTCGAATTGAATCAAATTACCTTGTAATCTTAACCTTAAGGTTATTTGCCATTGCCCACAAAAAGCGCTTTGTGCTCGACTGCGTTTAGTTACTATTTGAGTGGAAACTGGAAACTGGAGGCGGAAGTGGAAAGCACGGCACTCCCCACCCCGGGGCTTTTCTTTTACCAGCGCGCCGGGAAAGTTGCACCTTTCACACTTGCCCGAGTTTATATAAATGGAAATCCAACATTACGTCCTATCATGATTGCAAAGTTGAAGTGAGCTTGTGCCGAGTGCAAAGCTGCTTGAGATTACTGGTTTCTTGTTGTTTCAGAGCTCGGGGATTTGGAAACTGTAGCCAGTCAATCAAGGCGTTCGAGGCAAATCAGATAGAGTATATCATTGCACTCGGCTGATCCCCCAAGGGAGGCTCCCTCTGACTCCCAAGCAAGCAATAATAGGAAACCATTAAGTTATGGAATGCTCGTCACTAGCTAAATGGGTTTATTACGCACAGAAGATAGTTTTTAACCTAAAACTCCACCAAGGATCAAATCTGCATCCGTTGCTCGTGTGCTTTTCGTTCGTTACTCACTGACACCATAGACTCTATTGACCCTATTGACTCCCAAGCAAGCAATAATAGAAAACCATTAAATTATGGAATGCTCGTCACTAGCTAAATGGGTTTATTACGCACAGAAGATAGTATTTAACCTAAAACTCCACCAAGGATCAAATCTGCATCCGTTGCTCGTGTGCTTTTCGTTCGTTACTCACTGACACCATAGAGTGTCTTCATCAGCTCGGACACGTACTCATCCCACCTGGACTGGAACACATTTCCCGCCACTGGAGGGCCCATCTCGTATTTCTGGGCGAACTTCATCACGTCGAAATTGCTGTGACCATCGGCGTTGCTCAGCTCCATTTTCTTCTCGTCGAAGTCCAGTTTGTCGGACTGCTGATACACCAGAATAAGATAGCGCTGAATGCCACTATCCTTTGGAGGCAGTGGGCCGAAGTACTCCGATATCGGCTGGCCCTTCATTACGTCCAATCCGGGTACATTGACCACCAGCCAGTGGAGCCAGGAGCGGTACATGGGATTCTCCCGGTTCGGCGCATCGGGACAAATCATGAGCACGGTGTAGAAGGACTCGGGATCCGCATTCCAGTCGAGTCGCGGCTGGAACTTCAGCTCCGTGGGAGTATAGGTCTTGCCCTCCTCGATATCAAAGGTGTTGTCGTACTTGACCTAGTGATCAAATGGCAGAGGTCAAGTCGCAGAGACAGCACAGTTTGAACTTACCCTAAGCAACTGCCTCGGGGGCTCGTCCAGAATGTCGGGGATCACCGCCATTTCCTTCATGATCCTCCGG